CGTCTCTGGTCGTAACCCAAGCTCGAATCTCATATCAGATTTGTCGCTATCGCCATCGCCAACGCCTCTAAACGATTGATGGCACTCGTCGACATCGTCGTTTCGCCCTGCTCCCTGTATCCTGTCAAAAATCCGCATCCTTGTCCTGGACGAACCCCTTCGCAATGGGAGTGCTCTGACAGCGTTTCTCTCTGTGTGTGTGTGTGTGCTGCTCGTTCGGTGCCTTCCTCTGGTGAGGAAATGATAAATTGCGCATTTGGGAGTTTTAAAGGTCAATTTAGGGGTTACTCTCACACTCCTGTAGCTCAACTTCCTCCTCCTCCTAACGTGGCAGGAACACACTGGCTGACAGATGAGGGACGGATGGAAGGACGAATGGACAGCTTGATGGGTGTCAGTGTTGCTTAAAATTCATTTAAATATGATAAATACCAGGGGAAAGTAAATTAAAGTGATTAGAAAAAGTAAAAAAAGGTGTTCTGGGAAAATACATGGAATCGTGGGGAATTATTCAGTAGTATCTTCTTTAAAACTCTTTAAACTAGCAATTAACTTCAAAATTGTGTGGCTTAATTCGCAATTGAGAATTATAAGTGCAGTCTTTAACTGGAATTTGCACAGAGCATTGAGTGAAATAAATGAATAATTATTATAATAATTGAACCTAAAGATCTTTGTCCAAGATGAACCAAAACCCTGAGGGATTATATAGATAAATTATACTAATTTTATAGTTTAACTTCTTACATATCTTAGCTTGAAACCCGCTGTATGAGCAGCTCTCTAAAAAAAGGCAGACAGGACTTCCGCAACCCATAAACAGCGACACTTCAAAGTTAACTCGCACAATAAAAAACAAAAAAATAAAATCCAAATGTAGCATACGAGTGCGAGTGCTACCATTTCCATTGCCACTTCCACAACCATTTCCATTTCCATTTCGACTTGCGACTTGTACACCGGTAACAGGGTTGCACTCGAGAGGCAAGGATTCCTCCTGCCGTCCTGCACTCCAGGGAAGCGGCTTGAATTTGCTTATGGGATTTGTCTAGTGCGCCTGTTGACTTGCCAGTTGGCGTTTATATTAATGGCTCAGGTTGGGTCTGGGTTGGATTCACTCCTTTTGCCCGTTTTAGGGATCGCTGGGAAGTGACGCGTGCCCGCTTGGATTCGGGTTCGATTTGGGTTTTCTGAGTTAGGGTTATTCTCGACCCCCGAAGGGGTTCTTTAGGGCTGTATGTGTGTGTTTTTTTTCGTCCTTCCTTTGGGGTGGAACTGGGCACAAGGTGCCTAAATGGGCAGGTAAATCATAACGGTAACGATGATGACAGACAGCTTCGGGGTGATTCCGGCGTTTCATAACCATTTCCCATGACGAAAGCAAATATTTTTTGGTTTAATTTTTGGTTTATTTGTTAGACAATATAACAAGAGTTAATAGGTTTTACATTGTAATGAAATATTTCACAGGAAACTAGGAAGTGTTTTCATGTAGTAAAGTGGTTAAAGAACCCATTTAATATTAGTTAGTGTTAATCCTAGTTCTGGTTATTTTCCCATTCAAAACCCTATTAAAATTATTTATTATTAGTAAGGCTAATAATAAAGTCTTGCCACTGACGGCATAATTCGTTCCCAGCCACGCCTCTTTGACAGAGGCCTTTCGCCCACCTTGAATAAAGTCCCCTCTAATTTGTTTATCAATCTGCAATTGGCTTGCAAATGACATCTCTGGACGGCCTACAACGCGCTTTTCGCGTTTGGCGTTTCCCGTTTCCGGCTTTTCCATTTTCCCCTTTTTTGTGGGCTGTTCCCAAGCAAGTGCCACGCCCACGGGCCACATCCTTCTCACATTCCGCCCCCTATAACCGTGACATTGAACGGTGGCATCGACATTGCGCCGGAAGGATCCAGCACTGAGAGAAACTATAGCCTTAGAATGTTTTAAACACGATTAAAAATGATGGAAAATTAATTTAAGAAAATATAGAAGATAATACCTAAATAAATGAACCCATAAATCAATTAATTTATACTCAAAAATATTACAAATAGATATTCAAAATAAATATTCAAAAAAAATTCAAATATTGAAATATAATAAATATTAATAAAATGTATTTAGCAAAATAATTACTACAGAGGATGTCTGGCAAGACTCTAAGCTCTAAATATTGAGTACTAAAGATCAGGGATAGCAGAAAATAGGGAGATATGGATTCGATATACCATTAAGCGCGATTTTCTTTATATCAGACTTTTCCTCTCGATAGACACCCAACTACAGCTCACCAAGAAGAGGTTTTCTTTATGAATAACAAAACTAAATAACATTTATAGTATAGAGTCTAGTAAATCTCTCTTATCTATATTTAACCAGTTACATAAGATATTTTATCAAAGATATTTCTGGCTGTGTGGCCCTTCTGCCTGGGTTTCTGATCTGGCCAGGCCGTGCTTGTGGCACGTGTAAAAGTTTGTAGCTCCGGTCACGTGACCGCACGTGTACCGCCATCCGCCTTCGGGGGTAACCCCAGGAATGGCGGCAACCCTGATAAGACGACTGGGCTGCTGTGATAAGCGCAACCTGACAACGCCGCCGTGCGCGTGTTCCTGAGAAGATGTCAAAGACCAGGCCCGGATTTCTGGTCTCGCCACGCCTATCTGGATGGGATCGGGCCCGCCCTTCCATCATTGATGGTTTTGTTAGCGCAAATATCTTAATTCACCGCTTCGCCGCCCCCGACACGCGTGAATCCAGTGTGAGTGAGTGTGTGCAGTTGACATGAGCAGCGCCCTCACGGTATTCGCCTTTCACTTTTTCCTTTAAAGCGGAAAAGTACGCCGCCGGAAATGGCCGAAAGAGAAAAGAAAAAAACTCGAAGAGATTTTTTTTTTTTTTTTTATTCGCAATTCATTCTCATTCTCACACACAACGGCCTTTAACGAGCTTACAATAAATGTATAATCCTGTTTCGGGCCAGACATCATCCTTGTACACAGATCAGAGGAGAGTTAACGTGGGAATCACCGATGGGGTTATCCATCAGTATTTTTATTATAGGATTTATTAGTTATATATATAGTATTTATACTAGGGTACTCTAGGGTTTCTAAATAGATTGAGTAGTATTATTAATTATAGAAGCAAGAAGAAGATCGATGTTCTAATTCGGATCTTTCAGGTTGATAATTTTTATTGTTTAAGGAAAACATTGAGTATTATTATTGAAGCTGTCCGAAATTCAGTATGATGTTGGAATTATTTTTTATTAAAAATAACAAACAAAAAAGGAAACTAACTGCGGGAAGCCAATTTTATATACCCTTGCAGTTTGCAATTGAATATTAGGATCGTATAGAAAATCGATCATAACAAAGCTTAAAATATTCGCATTCGATATTTTTTATATGACCATTTTATGAGTAAATCCAATATTTTCAATTATCATAACTTGACCAAAAAAGCATTCATTTCGATTCGGAATGTTTGCCCTATGTTTGTTTTTGGTCGGTTAATAAATCTGCATACTCTATATAAAATTTAAAAATATTTCAATTTTTTCCAATTTTTTTTTTTGTAATTTTAACGATGTAACCCCTTATAAAATTTCTGTCTAAGATGGCTAGATCGATTCGGCTGTTGATGCTGATCAAGAATATATATGATTTATAGGGTCAGAAATGACTCCTTCACTGTATTGCAAGCTTCTGACTTTAATATTAATATCCTGCAAGGGTATAGAAACTGACACTGAAAAGCATTTCGAGTTGAAGCAAAATAACGAATCCTACAAATAATAAAACTTATATACTCTTACAAATTCGTCACAAATATCTCTAGAGACTGGTGACTAGTAACCCCAAGGAAAGCGATTAAATAAACAGGCATATGCCACAAACTACATCAAATTGCAACATTGTATCATAGTTATTCCAGGTCTCTCAACCCTCTGTTGCATTTTTTTTTGTGTTGGTTGTTGTCCTGTGCCCACGAAATAAGCCTGATTTGGTTCCCTGATTTCTGGTTGTTGGATTTCTGTTGCCACCATAAAAACATATGACACCATTTTGATGAGTCGCGCATTTTTGGCACGCCAAATTATGCATAAAATAGATTGCTGTGTTGACACTTTCCACTGAGAAGAGCCAGGAACAGGAACAGGATCACAGGCAGCCGGGGATCGTCAGGACGAAAGGGATACAGGGGAAAAGGCAGGACTCTACTAATCGGACTTGTCACGTGCGCATCACAACAAAGCGGGGTGGAAATCAAGGGTCGGGTCTCCTTTTCACAAATTTTTTTTTTGTTCTCGATTTTTATTTTTTAACTAGCAGCAATTGGGTTTTGTAACTCGAAACTTGAAACTTGACATTGCGGGGAGGAAATGCGATTGCGATTGCGATTGGGATTGGTATTGCGGTGGGCACATGTGTGTAACTGTCTGGAATGATGAGTCAAGCGATGATTTCTGGCGGTCATATTTCGCCCTGAAATTAGTTGCATCGCAATGAACTTGCCAAAAATGAAGTTATTTTTAACATTTTTATTTATTTTTTAATATTTTTACGCATTTGTTTGTGGGTCAAGTGATCTAAGGAGAGACTAAAGAGCTTTTAAAAGCAAAACATCTCCCATAAAGCTGCGGGTTTCTCTCAGATTATGTCGATTAAGTCGAATTAGAATGAATTTAAACAATAAAGGATTTTGAAATATATGAAAAATAAATAATAATAATAGAAACTTATAAAAATCAATTTGGCAATATGAACTCTAACGAAAAACCTCGATATGATAGCAAGAGCAAAAGAATCACCAAAAGGGATCTATTTTTAAAGCAATTCTTGGGATTATATTTATTATTTAATTAGTTTCAAACCGTTTAATTTATTTGTTCTTCTATTTACCTAATATTTAATTTAATTTTGTTTTTCCCCTAATTAAATAAGTATTTTATTTGTTCCTATATTTAATTTAGCAAGTTTTGCAACCTTTGAGTATCGTATAAACGGTGAGTGTGTTTTAATATCGTAAAAAAGTGAATGTGCTAAACAGTGACGTATATTTAGTGCTTGGTGTCTAGACTAGATCTAAAAAATTGCTTACAATTCCTCATTTAGCGCCATCTAGCCGAAATCAACGAAACTTAACCTATTTGTTCGTTAAATAAATAAATAGATCCAGCCCAAGTTCTGCACCTTTTTGTCGACTTGGCAACGTCTAAGCCTTAAAAAAGATTTTAAATCCCTTTTGCTAAGGGTTTTTAGCTCTTTTTGAGCAGTAAAAGTGACTTTTTTGAATGCCTTCAAAGGCTATGCATACAAATCGAAGTTTTTAAACCGTAAGAAATGACCGTGGACTTGGCATATTAAGAAAAAGTGAAGTGAAAGTACAACAATGGCAACCTCAAAGTTATCAACTAAGCAAAGTTATCGATAATATCGATAGCACAAACATATGTTTGTCTCTCTTTTGCAAAAGAAACAAAAATAAACAATTTTTTTTTGTTTTAAAGCCGAAATATGATACATAGTTTGTTTATAGTGAACAGTGGCGGGTAAGTAAATTACGGATAGTATACACAGAACCCACTTACAGTTCTCACCTCTTCCTCCACCCCCCAAACAACAGCGAGGTGTTCCTGGAGAAGCACTGGCGTTCGGTGGTCTCACGGTCCGTCTGCGAATATTTTCTGGATGCCCAGAGAGCGGCTCCATATGTAAGTTCAGCCAGCAGCCACGTAGATGGTCTTGAGATTATGATCTATATATTATTTATATTTGCTTATAGGATGTACCACCGGTGATAGCAACGCCTCATTTCTACCTCATCACGGTGCAGCGGGATGCAGTGTCTCTGGTGGCCGCCTGCAAGCAGGAGGTGCCACCCCTCTTCGTCATTGAGTTCCTACATCGTGTGGTGGACACATTCCAGGATTACTTTGGTGATTGCAGTGAAACAGTGATCAAAGACAACTATGTGGTGGTCTATGAACTGCTGGATGAGATGCTGGACAATGGCTTTCCACTGGCCACTGAAAGCAACATCCTGAAAGAGCTAATCAAGCCGCCAAACATACTGCGAACCATTGCCAACACGGTGACGGGGAAGAGCAAGTCAGTATGGATTTAGTTTTATCCAAGGTTTTCCCTCTAAGTTTTCCTTTTTTGAATTGCAGTGTCAGCACCACTTTGCCCTCGGGACAATTGTCAGCGATTCCGTGGCGCAGGAGTGGAGTAAGGTACACCAATAATGAGGCGTACTTCGATGTCATTGAGGAGGTGGATGCCATTATAGACAAGTCTGGTTCCACGGTATTTGCAGAGATACAGGGACATGTGAGTGGCACTAGAACAGAGCTAAAAATGCACTCTTTAATCACTCTTAAAATCTCTATTAACCACTTTCTTTCCTGTTCTAGATTGACTGCTGCATCAAGCTATCGGGCATGCCAGATCTTACCTTGTCCTTTATGAATCCTCGTCTATTTGATGACGTCTCCTTCCATCCTTGTGTGCGGTTCAAACGCTGGGAGGCAGAACGTTTGCTCTCCTTTATACCACCCGATGGCAATTTCCGGCTAATGTCGTATCACATTAGCTCACAATCTGTGGTGGCCATACCCATCTATATAAGGCACAATTTCTCGATTAAAACGGGTGAACAGGGACGACTGGATTTGACCATAGGACCTAGAAATACCCTGGGACGTACAGTGGATAAGGTGAAGCTGGAGCTGACCATGCCGCGATGTGTGCTCAATTGTTTGCTGACACCCAATCAGGGCAAATACACATTCGATTCGGTGACCAAGACCTTGTCCTGGGATGTGGGTCGCATTGATGTATCCAAGCTGCCAAATATTAGGGGATCGGTAAGTGAAAATTATAAAGAATATATCAAAATTAAAGTTTTGTTATTCTTTCTTTTAGGTTTCCATTACGCCTGGAACAACGAATATTGATGCAAATCCATCCGTTAATGTTCAGTTCCAAATCTCACAGCTGGCCGTCTCTGGGTTAAAGGTGAATCGTTTGGATATGTACGGGGAGAAGTACAAACCCTTCAAGGGCGTCAAATACCTGACCAAGGCGGGCAAGTTCCAAGTCCGGATGTAGGACACCCACAAACAAAGAGAGAAAAAGAGAGAGAGAGGACAAGCCACGTTCCGCCCCGATTCCAGCTTTAATTAAGTGCTAATGCTAAGTGTATTCCACTGTTTTATGTCATCCAATGTCCAATGCCTCCCCCCAATATATCTCATTTATCTATGTATCTCTTAAACTATCCATTAAAAGTTCAACTCCACTCGTTGTTCCTCTGAGGAATGCGCTTGGGAGACACCCGTCGACAGTGGAGAGCGTAGAATCGATTGGGAATAAAGTTGCAAGTCTCGCTGTGGCGTGGCTAACTCACCGCTTGGCAACAGCCAGCGAGGAAACCCATAAATTTAAATGAAAATGCAAAACTTGATTTTGCAGGCGGCCAGGGCAACGCATTTAGCATACGAATAGTGTGTATACATCTCTCTATCGTTGTGTGTGTGAGCCAACAATGGCTAGAAGTGAAGATTCGCTAAGATAGATTCTTGGGAAATAAGATTTGTAAAGGAAATATCAAGGGTTTTAAGGTATTAGGAGGTTGGGCTGTTTTACAAAATCTTGGTTTTATTTATAGACTTTCTATACCCTTTTAGAGTAATATGATGTGAAGGAGTCATTTCCGACCCTATAAATCATATATATTCTTGATCAGCATCAACAGGAGAGTCGATCTAGACATGTTTGATGAAATTTTTTTTTTTTAATTTTTTTTTTCCAAAAATTTTGAAGGAGTTACATCGTAAAAATTTTGAAATTTTTTTAATTTCTTAACATTTCTTATACAGTATGCAGCTTTATTACCGTGGTAAAAACTAACACAAAACAGCTTTCCGAATTGAAATTAATGCATTTTTGCCTGAGTTATGATATTTTGAAGATTTGATTTTTCTCAAAAAATTATCATTTAAAAATTTCGACAAATATTGATTAAAAATTTGAAAATTCAGGTTTTCCAAAATGCATAAACTGGCTGAAAAGCCTGTGATTGTTAAATAAATTTATATATTCCTCCGATTCACAATTTAAAATTTATATTATTAAAAATCAAACAAAAATTAAAAAGAAAATTGAACTGAATTGTTCTCTATATTTGAATTTTTCTTTATATAAGTATTTATTATTCATATTATTATTATTATATTATTATTTTTTATATTATATATTTATTTCAGAAAAAAAAAATAATAATAGGATTCATATATATTTATCTTATTTTTAAGAAAAAGAGTTTAAGTTCTATATTTTATATAAATAGTTAAGAGAACGGTTAGTTAATGGTCTGGGCCTAGCAATACCTCTTGAGTTTTCTTAATTATGAATCAAAAGTCTTACTTTAATGGTCTTGATAGACTTTAGTTAGGAAATTTTCTCCAAAAACAAACATGGAAAGCATAGAGTAAAGCTTTCACTTCTTGTTAATAAAATTAAAGTAACTTAATTTATTTTCTTCCTGAAATACCTTGTTTTTAGTCTGTAAAATGAACTATATACCTGACAATCTTTTGGCTTACTTAAGACTGTTTAAGTAACTCATAATTTAAGGCTTTTAAATATAATTTTTTTTATTGGCTAAACTTAAACTGAATTTATACAGAGGCTTTACTGTTTTGTCCCCGCCGCCTTGTTAATGCTGCATACAGCTTTTAGTTGCGGCCAAGAACGGCAACCGGTTTTCCCCCCGGTCACGCCTCCTGACCACACTGCCCGCCCCACAGCTCCACAGCTCTTCGGATGCCACCGCATCCCTGAAGCCGAGCTGCTGCAGCAGCCGGATCTGCAGCAGCAGCAGCTTCTAGGCTTTTGGGTGCGGCGTGCCACGGTAGCCAACAAGCGCCACCAAAAACCGACAACGACGACGTCGGCCATGGCTAGACATGTTATATATATATAGATATGTATATAGATGTGATATATACAAACACACAACACACATAGTGACCAAATCCGGACTCCAATCGAGAAAATAACTCAGCTTGGTGCAACAATCCAACTTCAACTTGAGCTCAAGCTCTGAATTTTTGTAGCTGCACTGCGAGAGAGTCACTTTTCAAGCGTGGGAAATGCTCGTTAAATGCCGAGCAGCCTCGCAGCAGGGTGTCCTCAAGCCCCCTCATGCCCCATGCCCCTTTCCACTTACCTCTTGCCCCCATTCAAAACCTAAATCCAACCCATTCTCATTTCAGGGAAAATGGCAAAAAAAAAATGTGCAGGGAGAGGCGTTTTTACAGCGTTCATTAGGGTCGGCAGCCAGCAGTTCGTTGCCTAAGTCTTTCGATTATTTGTAAGACCTCCTAGAGCTTTGCTGTTTCCTTCCTTCATTCCTTCCTCCTCTCCAGGGGAAGAATGGAAATCCGACCAGTATTTTACTGCCGTAATTGATAGCACATTACATACGGCATTCGGATTGTAAATGTTTTCCATCTCATTTGCATTTTCCCCCCAACGCTACAAAAAACTATATATACTATATGTATACGAAACGAAGGGCAGAGCCAGCAGGCTATAGAACATAAAAATACCCTGGAATAAAGTCGTAAAAGATGTACAATGTACATTCAATAAATAAATAAATAGGTAGGGGAATAGGGTAGTTTATCTTTATAATGCTATGTCTATATGAAAGCTAATTTAAATTAGTTATACAGAAAAGATATAGAAACCTATATTAAAATATATATATATTAAATATCCCCTTCACTCTTAAAGCTAGGGTATCAAGCTATAAGTATTATGCATTCCATGCGAGAAATGTTAATCGCACCTGGAATTGTTGCAGTTCATGAACAGATTTGTAGCACTTGGAATGGCGGGGGGAGGGACTTTTAATGAACCCCGCGAGAGGTGTTGATGAAGCCTCATAAATTTCCACTTAAAGCTATAGTGCACGTGATTTCGTGCCCCCATATCTATATATGAACGTAAATCCTGTTCTCGCTTGCCATCTTTTCGCTCCAATAAAAACGTTTAAATGATCTTTTAGCTTCTGTTTGGCTATATCTTTGTCCAATGCATATTGACGCGATCTGGTTATGGCTTGTGTAATAACTAAGTATATATGTTTGGTTCAAAAGGAACTATTAACATGCTGCTAAGTGATATTTAGTGACTGCAAATGCATTTTGCATTTGATCTACTTTCGGTTTGAGGAAATGTTTGAACGTCGTGAACAAGGGGTATTAGTGTTTAAGCAAATATGAAGATGGTATTTATCATGTGGGGATGTGGGTTATATCCACGATATTGTTATATTTATTTATTATACACTTACTGGGTTTTATAATTTTAGTTAGAAGATGAATAAGTGAACAAGTCATTTACAACTTTGTATATATAATTTATATCATCTAGAAATTATTAGAAAATAAATTAAACTATTCTTGTTTAATTTCATATTTTTATCTTCTCTAATATATGATCATTTTTATTATTCCAGAATTTCTGTGTTAATTTTATGCAACTTTGATGGCTATGTATATGGCATACATATAAGCCATGGAATCGATCGGTAAGTGAAGAGATAAATTTTTAACTCTGTATACATTAATATATATTAATATGGGATTATTTAATATTAATATAATATATTAATATTTTATAAGGTATAGGTGGATTTGAATTCTTTATATGAACTCTTGAACTCAAACTCACATAATATATCCACATATATGTATGTAAATACTATATCCTATATATTCTGTTAATATTGCTTTTCTTTTAACCATTATGGATCGATTCTTAAAGAACTCATTGCAAAATTGAAGGGTATAAAAACTTAACATATAAGTTTGTTAGCTTTCTCCTTTTTTTTATGTTTTTTAAAGTATTTTTAAAGCGTTTTGAATCGGTTCATTTTAAATATAAAGTTGTTTATAGTATTTTAGCTGTTGTTAGGCGATTTTTGAACGTTTTTTAAAAGGGGTTTTATGGGTCTTTAACCCGCAGCGGGATAACACCCTCTCATTCATTGCGTTTACTTCCAGTTAAATGTCACTTAGAAATTATAAAATATGAAATATAAATTTATTTTCGAGTTACAGAGCTATAAAGCTTATATAACCAAAAAATGTTGGATGTTATATCCCAACTGATGCTATATCTCCGATAACTTGCCAAACTGCAGCTAATGGAGCTAATGGAACTCGCTTTGGCTGAAAGGAAGGCAAACTCGAGTGAAAGACAAGCAACATGCATTTGTCATTAGCGGCAACAAGGTGGCCTAGCATCCAGTTGATAGTTTATTTTATTTTTCTTTTTTTGTTAGCTGTTAGTTGCTCCCCAGACCCAGGCAAGTCGTGCAATTGCAATGGCAATTGCATTCGCTTTCGATAATAATTTATGCAACTTGTCGTCGTTGCACTGAGCAAACACACAAATGTTTGAACTTCGCCTGTTCGCGTTGTTTGCTCTCGCTCCGGTGCCTTTGTTTGTTTGTTGCTTTGTCCCGGCTTTGTTTGCTCAGCTTTGATTGCTGTTTGCCCAACTTTGCGAAAGGTGTTGCCCGCGTCAATTGGAGCGTCAGCCTCAGTGTTCCACATGATTTCTGATTTTAGATTTCGAAACCGCAAAACTAGAGCACTTTTGCATAGAATGCCAGTGGTCTTCGTCTGGTCAGCTAATTAGAAACGTTGATTGTCTTTGGTGGAGAATGTGGAGAGGGGGAAAATGGAAAAACAGATACACCCGGGAAATGGAAAATGCATTGGCACACATAGCTGAAAGCAAAGAGTGTTCTATTTAGATTTCGTGTTGGAAAATTAAGTATTAAATATGAAATACATTGATTTCCTTCTTTTAATATATTTCGTGGATTTGAAAACAATATTTTCGAAATATTTTGTATATTTGTTGTTATTTTTTTATATATTTTTTGTAATTACATGTATATTATATTTAAATATATATATTTTTATGACACAACTCCGGACTAAAGAAAATAAATTGAACATGACTTTACACTAATAACACCCTTTAGCTTTTGCAACTGGACAGTTGGGGCAATAAATTTAAATCTGTGTACCTGAAATGATTCAATAGACAAGTATTTTGACTCTTAAAATCACATCTCTGTATCTTATGTGCTTTTTTTTCAAAATTGATTTATATTTACAAAACTGAAAGATGAAAGATAATTGTAGGGTATATAGTGATGAAGGCAAATGGCGTCACTGCCATTGAGGCTCATTAAAAACGATTGAAACTTCCGCAATTCGATGGCCCAAGAGTAATATATATAAAGCTTAATGCAGCACCAGAAACAAACGCATCTGATTTCACAAAACCTTACTCATTTTTACCCAATTCTTTTGCCAAACACAAAAAGTGCTCCATAAACAAAAGAAGTTGCTACGAAAAAAGAGAGAAAGGAAATACAAAAAATTTGATCAACATTTCGAGACCCTGTCCGTGGAGGATTTGCTTACAAAGTCGTTGCGATAAACAAAAGAATATATATAAAAATATATTAAGTATAAATTGCTTACGCATTCAAAATTGTTGATATGCTAATGCAAAAGGTTTCAACTGATATAAATACATAAATACGAATTTATATATATTGTTATTTATGTATATATAGTGTACTTATCTCTTTATTTTAATTAATCGATTTATAAGAGGTTAGAGGTCGTTTGATAGATTATAATAAAATATTTATAAGATAAGAAAATAGATACTATCTTATCTAAGTTAAAATCACCATAAATATTTATCAAATTTTATGCAAAAAAGTACCCAAAAGATAGTACAATCAAATTTTATTTGTAGATTATTTAAAGAACTCTCGAAATTCCTTACACAAATAATTTTCAGCTTAAAAAACAAACTCTTATAATTTTTATACCACAAATAATTGCTTTAAACTTGGCCAGCTGGCTTTTGTTTAGAGTCTTAAAAAATGTCTGTTTTTAAACAGAATCGGCTTCATTACTCATTTTATATAGTACCATTATTTATGTTTATCACAAAAAACACAGTCTAGTCACAAAGATATATAACTTTTATATGGATAAAACAAAAAAAAAAGACGCATAACAATAAATCTGACGGCGAAACAACAGAGACCACAAACCCGTCACAGGCAACTGGCATTTTTGTTTAAATAAATAAATTGTATGCGAGTCGAAAATTTAGGGTCTTACGTGAAATGGAGGCTTACGTAAGTCGACAGTGATCATTATCAATGATCATCACCCGGTGGGTGGTGAGTTGGTGGGTTGGTGGTTAGTGGGTGGGTTTTATGGGTGTTGCTTGAATTCTAATTCCAATTCTTTTGTCGCAAAATTGAGCGAAATTTATCCAACAATTGCAAGTGCAAGGTCATTGGTCGTGTGTGTTCCGTGTGTAAAATTACAAACAATGATTGTTCAAGTGAGAGGTGTTAGAGAAATTTAAGATATTTACCTATAAATGTATAAATATTAAGTAACTAAAGAACAATAATTTAAAGCAAAAATAGTTCAACCTTAAATCAATCAAGAATGCATTTCCTAACCTAATCACATTTATATTAAATTCTTTTAAATAAACATTTTAATTGCCCTGCCAGACATTACAATTGAGTCTCTCCTGTGTTAATTTTTTAGCCCTGGAATGCATTACAAATAAATAAATTCAATTCAATTAAAAAATAAGTGAGAACTTTGACATTTGTTGTGCTCGTTGTGGTAGTGTGTGTCTTTGTACGAGAGTTCCTCGAACCCGTTTCCCATTTTCATTTCCATTTTTCGCACTGCCACTCAGCGTTTTCGCTTTCCTTGACTCTCCACATGCCGTAATATTTATTTACGTATTTATTGGGGCCAATTGCAGCGTTTAACTCAATTTGATATGCTAATTTGCTCAACATCTTCTCGTCTATTGCCACACTTTCGATGTAAATGGCGACAACGAAGTGGCATAACTTGTCATTGCAACAATTTTAGGCTGCATATTTTATACATAAATATAGGTAACTAGGATTTAAATCTATCAAGAGATAAGTTAACATGAGGATAGGAAAGGGTTGTACTATAATATGATTAGAATGATATATAATTTTAATGTTTATATTATTACAAATAAATTCTAAGATTAGCTAACATCAGGTGGAGTTTTTGCACTTTAAACATATACGAAAGTAATTATAAATATTGAATTATTAATTGCTAATGATATAAATTATGTTGTGGATACAACAAATTATTGGTATTATATTTCATAGGACAATATTTAGGGTATAAATTCCCCTGACATTCAATTCAAAAAGAAATACTTACCTCACTGTATTTTAGATAATTTAAATATAATAAAATATATACTATAATGTACGATAAAAAAAGACTTCCGCGAATATTCGTTACAAAGAAGTTGCTTTATTTAAATCAATAATGCTGCCAGCTCATTAAGACGGCTCTGCGGATCGATTGACGCAATCAGACCCTTCAATAACAACGCAACCCAGGGCTTTGTTTGAGTAATAAGTGACGCCTTTAAATGGCCTCCGAAATGCATCCGTAGGAATCATTGGATTAAAGTCGATTTGGCACGAGCGGAAACCCAATAGGAGCAGGTATTCATACTTGATTTCGATATATATATATATGTATATATATAAACAGGATGTACAAGTGTAAATGAGGCGACACCTGTTGCACATTCTCATCCGAAACGAATGAAATGTGACTCAACTTTTGATTGCTTATTATTTCAGCCACACTTTCAGCCTGAAAATGTAATTATTACAGATAAGAGTTCAGGCAAGTCTGTTCCAAAATCTATACAGAATATATGTATATCGAAAATGTGTAGTTAATTGTGAGATATTTCAAATTTACCATATGCAAAGAAAGACTAGTTTTCTAAGAACAAAGAGATAGATATATAGACATAGAACAAGGTGGCAGAGAGATCAGCGGGTCAAAGACCGAGTCTGAGTTCGCTTCAAAGTTTGCCCAAAGTAAACACGTTTCGGTAACTAAAGAAAAAAAAACTATACAAAAAACTAACAAAAAACTGGTTGTAAATCGTAAACTATAGAAGGGGAGAACCTTTCAGGTGTCCCCTGGAACCTTTTTGGGTGTAATTGCTCCAAGTGGTAACCCCCCACAAGATAAGATAGAGATTTGTCCATGTTTGCTTTGATTTTCCTTGTTTTATTTTCTTGTTTATTTTCGCATGAAATGTGGCCATGTGTGTTGTGTGTTGTTGTGTGGAGAGTGTGTGTGTTGGACACACAACAAATATTAAACCATAAAGAAATCATCATCATGTTTTGTGTGGGTTTTATTTTTTGTTTAATGTAAGTATTTATAAGTATATGGAATTGAAATTGAAACTTAGCTTAGGGCTTGGCTCGCTAATCGTCTTGTTACAAACATTTATTTGATTTTCCATTGCTTTTCCACCTCGGTGTTTCTTGGTTTTTCCTTCTTTTTTAAATATTGCTTTTGAGTCTTTCATTTTTTTTTTTTTTGTTTGTTTGTTTGTTTCGTCTTTTCCACGCTTACACTTATCGCTAAATGTATACATATATATTTTTTGTATTTAGCATTTTCTTTACAAAAATATATACGCCTATAAACATACACATATATATACATAATGTATATATATATATGTATATATTTAAATTGATTTGCTCTTCTTTATCGATGAGTTCGTGTGTGTATATAAAAAAAATTGCGCTAAACTAAATAAATGCTACCAAAGATATGCAAAAAAAAGAGAACTAAAATACTAAAATTATCGTTTGTATAATTATTATTTGCTGGCGAAAATTGCTAAATTAAAAGTGTAAAAATTGAAATAAAATATATATGTATTATAATTTGCTGGCGTTTTGTTATCTTTACTAAGTGTAAATTATTGTTGTCGTTTTTTTTTTTTTTGTATTTTTTTGTGGGTTTTTTTTTAGCATTTTTTCCTTGTTTCTTTAAATGTCTTAATCAATGATCACAACTCTTAGCATAAATATTACTCGCATGTGGCATTCATAAATATATATATGTATATATCTTTCTGTACGTCTGTATATTTATGTATAAATATATATATGTGTGTAATTGCTCACTAAAAATATATATGGATGTGTGTGTTGGTGTATGTGTATATATAGTAGATCTATCATATCTCGCACAAAAAAATATATAATATATACTCGTACATTTAGTATTTTGACAAATGTCATTTCTCCTGTCTTTTAAAGGTTCCAAAATGCTCTTCGAGATTGGCATGGCTTGGGATCGAGGGATCGGGAAATTCTTAATTCTTGTATTGTTGAATTGTTGTTTTGTTGAGTTGTTGATTTGTTGATTTGTTGATTTATTGATTCTCCCTGATCCCGAGCGATCCATCTTTATAGCTTACATCTCTCTGGCTGCGGCTAGTATCTGTTATTGTTATTGTTATTATTATTGTTATGGTTGTTGTAGTTTATTGTTGTAATTGTAATTGTTATTGTAATTGTACGTGTCTTGTTGTTGGTTGCAAAACAGTAAACACAAAACGGTTGCTGAGGCATTTGGCCCTCTTGTTGTTTTTTTTTACCATGGAATTCGTTGATATGTGTTCATTAGCTCGTCATTAGCTCGAAAGGCCTCATCTACAACGTCGGCTTGGCTTCTTCCCCCTTCTACTCAGATTTCCGATTTCCGATTACCCCAATTTCCGACTGCATCTAATCATCGTCTTAACCCAATTTCGGCTGCATGAAACTGTAATGAAAGCGAGAGATATGTTGGGGTTAAGTTTAGTATAAAACAATGACTAGTTTCTATGGCTTAAGATTACTCATTTATACAATATCTTTTGGCCTTAAGATATCAGAGCTATGTTGCAAGAAGACAGTTGGAAATTAAAGCGCAAAAAATGAGATAAGATTGTGGGATTATACCATATAGTATATATTATTTGGTTTCCTTGACAGCTGTCTGTCTTTTAAATATAGTATAAGTTCTGGAACTCTAAAACTTTTTGAAAGGCTGAATAAGGTTTGAGCTTTTTCTTTTATATTTGTTTATTTAAAAAGCGAAGTACTTCTTCTTAAATACCTCCATAAAAACCTTTTATTAACTTGCTTTGATTTATTAACATTTAATTTAACAAACTTAAACTAGAACTTTTGAATTAATTTCGCATTAATGTTATACGAAATATTAACCCCATAAATCAATTAGAAAATAAACCCTAATAACCTGAGAAATGCTAAACAATAACTTTTTAAAAATAATAGCTTATTGCTTAGACATTTTCCGACCTTTTCGTTATTAGTTTTTCAGTTTTTTTCAATTTGAGTTTCACTTTTGGCCCAAACTAAGGCCTGACACTCTCCCCGCTCGATTCTCAGCGCTGCGGCGCTAATTGAAAGCAATTAATGCAATTAAAAGCCTGGGAAATGAGTTGCCGACTTGGCGAATTAAGTGCGTGCCTGGTGAAAATAAAAAAATAAAGTACAAATAAAATGGAGAGCAAAAGTTTTTCGCGTGCCTGCCTCTCGGTTTCATTCAAAATGTGGCATATAGTAAGCGGGTAACAAGTGGGTGGGAAGTGGGCTTTTGGGTGTGACAGAGCGGACCCATTCATTCATTCTATTTCATTGATACCTCAAATTGGCGGTCAGGCGAAAACCACATGAGTGTACTTTGGGGGATACAAAAAAAAAAAAAAGCAAAAACAAAAACAAAAAATAACAAACAGAAATAACACAAAACAGCAGGCAGGAGAATCATTTAAAGCGCTTATTTGTTGATTACGATGATCATCATCCTCATCATCATCATGCGGAGGCCGCTTAAATTGTGTGCCAGCCAGGCCGCCCAGCCAGACATTAATTGAAACTACGGTCCAGTAGAGATCCATATGGAATCTTGTGATCTCTGATCTTGGAGAGGTGAGGAGGCCAGGCGGATTCGTTTTCGGATCCGAAATGAGAATGAAAATGGAATGAAAATGTGTGCTAATTGCAACACTTTGTCACCAATCAACGGCAACAGCATCTGCGTCTGTTCATTTATCTGTATCTGTATCTCGACATCACAGTATCTGTATCTCTCGTCGCACCTTATCAGGTCTGTTTTAGCTTCGGTTTCTGTTTTTCGTTTCTTTTTGGAACTGGAAATTGTGAACCTAGGAATGACGGAGCCTGCCAGCCCTCGATTAGATAAGTGCCCGAAACTGTCACATAAGTTGCCCAACTTCTAATTGGCATTGCATGTCCCGAGCTCCCAGCGGAAAATGTCTGCACATTGGGCAACTCAACTCAAGTCAAGTCAAGTCGAGTCGTCGTGGAGAGTGGAGCCCAGCCCGGGGTATAGTCAAGTCGACGCCACTCACAGCTCCAAGCTGATTACGAGTCCGAACAGACGGAGAACTGACGTTGAGAGACTATGTTTTCTTATCTCCAACAACGACGTTGCTGTGCCCAAAAAGAAAAAAAAAAACGAAAAAAAAATAAACTAACCACACTGAAAGATACTTTAAATGAAAACCCATAGAAAGATCGTTAAGATATTCTTTTCATTTTCCACAAAATTTAAATAGAAAGCTACTCAAAAGAAATGGGGCATTACAAAATATCTATAAAATCAAAATTCCAGTGTAAATTTAAAGTAAATAGCTGCGAATCAATATGTATTATGGTGAAAATACTTTATAAACATATGTATAATATATATAAATTTATATTTTCTTTTCGTGTAGAGAAGGCAAGCATTGCTCTTAAGAATATCAAAATCTTGAAGACGAGGCAATTTAAGAAAATCGGAGGCCATGGAAACGACTAATAAATAATGAGCTAACAAGCTGAGTTTCCTGACCAACACTGGTAGTTTCAAATGGACTATTAAATACCCTGTAATTACCACGATCAACCTGAATCTTTCAAGCTGGAATCAAACTTTTTATACAGTCTATCTTTAAACATTTTAAGAAGGGGAATTCATTTTATTTTTAGTGTTGATAAATCAGAATTGAAGAGAGCCAAAAAGTGCTTTGCAAAAATCTGTTTTTACCAGAAAATCAAAAATTTATCTTTTTAAAGGCAACTATTGTTGACACTAAGGTCTTATAGATCCTATGATCACTATCTATAATATTCACTATAGTGATAGCTATCATAGGTATTCGTTACAAAATGGTTGTGGAATGTAAACCACCCGTTTGTGGGGAATTTTAAAGGGCATCAAGTAGAGAAATGCCAAGTCAAAAGAAGTCTGAAAGAATCTTTTGCTTCTTCTTTTCCCTCTTCTTCTTTTTTGTTTCTTTCTCTTCTTCTTTTGCCCTGCTGGCAACAGTCTCCAACTAACTGCTGGTCAAACTGGTTTGTCCCCTCTCGTTCTCTCTCGCTCACTCGCTGGCTAGATTTGTGTGATTGAGGAGGATAGAGCTATCGGTGGTTGTTGCGCATGCGCAGCTGCTATCTCGCTTGCACCGAAGCCGGTTACAGCTCTTCTCTTTTTTTTTTTTTGTTGCTGCTAGCGTTACGCTTAAATGAGCGCGTAAGACCAGAAGAACTCTCTCTCCCTCTCTCTCTCTGTTTCTCTATTTCTCTATTGCTCTCTCAGTGAAAAGCGTTTCTTTGTTATGTTGGAAAAACATAAATTTTCTACAGACATTAGCTAAGGTCTTTGGGGGTATCTTCTTTAAACAAAAAACTCCTCACAAAGGTGGAAAACATTTAAGATTTCTTTTTTCGATATTGTGTAGTTATGTACATCGATAAATATCGATCTTATGAAGCCTAAGATCTAAAAGTATCTGTGCTTTGCTAATCCTAATTGAGCTTTATAAAGAGGGGAAAACTTTAATTAAGAAATGTATCTAAATCGTGGTATTTATATATCTTTACCTGGATTATGGAATAGAAATCTTCGTAATCTTTGATACTTACTGGCACTTGGGTTCGGGCTTGCGCTCAGGATTCCGGACTCCGGCTCAGGCATCGAAGGGCCGCTTGTGGGCGCTGTGCTCGTCGCCGCCCATCTCGCGGGACAGATCGGCGATGACCTCCTTGTAGATGAGCGGATCGATGTTCTTACCCAGCTGGTAGAGCAGGAACCAGTCACCGATGTTGCACTTGTTGGCCACCAGTTCCACCTCCTCGCTCTCGGCAAGACGGGAGCGGGCGCGGAGCAGCAGGTGACGCAGTTTAGGGCCCGCCACCACGGCGATCCGATAGATCAGCGAGATGCCGGACAGAATGCTCAGGATGATGAACCAGAACCAAAGGAACACGTAGATCTTCTCATTGACAATATTCAGGGGCAGCACGCACAGTCCATCGAACTTCTGCACATTGCCGGAGGGACCGTATTTGTGGAAGGTACATTTGGTTACCTTGGGAAAGACCCGGGCCATGGGATCAATGCGCTCATCCGGCTCCATCTCGGTGAACTTCAGCACATCGCTGCCATACGTACTGAACTCTCCATCCAAAAAGAAGTCGACAAAGTAAATCTGGCCAATGACATTCACAAAGTTGAGGGCTTCGCAGACAAAGAAACGGAAGGCATAAAAGTTGTGCCGGTTCAGGTTGCCAATGAAGTAATCGACAAGGATCTTCTTGCGGTCATTCTTGCACTCCTCGTTCACAATGGGACTGTTCAGATCCATGACCAGCATCTTGAGGCGACCGCCTTCCCAGGATTTCCATAGGTAACGGGGCACATAGAAGAGAATGGCCTGGAAGAAGAGGACGAAGCACACCCACTGATAGTATTTGTGGTACTTCACCTCATCCTCGCCCTCCACATGTGAACCGACACCGGGTTGCACCACATCCCGTCCGGTCACACCGGTCAAACGCTCCGGCACAGTGAACGTAGAGTAGATCCAACAATAGGTGTCCATCACTCCCAGTGGTATCTCATCGACGATGCAATCAATCGGATCACCGATATATTGACGCGAGGTGACCAGGAGCGAGAAGGCAATCAGAATGATCACCGTGGCCTTGTAGTGCATGCGAAATACATTGTTATCGATGCACACCTGGTCGATCTTCAGCAGGCCCTTGACGGACCCAAAGACATCAAACATGTTGGCGGCGTCTCTGGCCTACTTGGCTTGGCTTGGACTTGGACTTGATTACACCAGGCACACACGCACACACACACGAACCACACGGGAAATGGGGATATGGTTGGACACTACACTGCAGGTGCTCTAGCTTTAGCTCTGGCTCCGGCTCTAAGCTGCTGGCTAAGCGCTGTCGTAGTTTCTGGCGGTGATTATATTCGATGCTGGCTTGGCTGGCAGTGCTCACACGTTGTCCACCATTACTCTTCAGTTTCTGTTTCAGGAATGCACACGAAAAAAATAGTAGTAACTGCGGGCGCAGCGATCGCAGTGAACAGAGATCGAGGAGATCACCCAGCGAGCTTTCGGCTGCCTTCGTTACGGTTGCCTCGTTGGGTCGAGTCGGTTTCGAATTCAGCGTTTTCGCGCTCTCAACGCGCACAGAGAGAGCGAGAGTGAGTGAGTGAGTGAGGTGGTAGTGGTAGGTTACCACGACGGTTACCTAGGTAGCTGTGTCCGTCGCAGGCGGCACTGAGCGCTTCGGATAGAAAACTATAACTGTTCACTGTTCAGCTTGTCGCTGAGCCAAGCGCTTGACTCCGTTAAACAGCGTCGCGAGCGAGAGTGCCAGAGAGCGGCAGAGCGGGAGAGAGCTCTTGCCCACTCTCCCACGCCATTATCGCGCTCTCTCTCTCTCTGCTTCTCGAGCGCGCAGGTAAACTCCACCACATGGGGTGGATCTTGTTATGCCCAGTTGGCATAGGGTGCAAGGGTAGTCTGATTCGGCGTCATCTTAGGAAAATATATATTAAAATATGTTTTAAATTAGAACCTGGCTGGAAAGTTGTCTGACTATCTAACAACAAGTTTGGTCATAAAATAGAAGTAATAAGCCTTTTTACATATTTCTCTCACTAGTCTGTCATCTTAATGTGGAAGACAAAATTTGGAGTCGCAGCTAATATTTCTTAAATGTATTCCTCCTCATATTTTCTCACACAGCTCAAATAAACCCATATGTTATTAATTTAAAAACACAAAAGTTTTAATAGCGGGTATCTCATAGTTGATCACAATCGACTCTTGAACCTTCCTTGCTCTTTGAGTGACGCTCTCTCGCGAGCGCTCTCGTACTTGCTCTCCCTCTCTTTTTCTCTCTGAGTAAATGAAGCTGCGTTTTCATTTTCCAAAAGGGTAACAATTCCAACTCCCCGAGAGCGAGAGAGAGAGAGAGCGCCCAGACTCATGAGTCAGAGATGCCACTCAAGCTGTTGCAGGAAACTCAACGAACTCGAAATAAAAGAACAAATAATATAAAAAAAAAACCCTAAAGGAAGCAGACCTAACTTAATTACTCACAATTTATTGTTTTATTAGGATTACGCTTAGGCGATTGGTCAGTTTAAAACCGTTGAACCGATTTCGTTGCAACTGATGCAATTACCATAGGTTTTCGTGTAAACCAAAGCCAGGTTTCATCCAAAATCTGGCAGCCTGAACCGGAATTAACCCTAAATTTCCACAAAATTTAAATTAAGGGTATAGCTGAAGCAGAGGAATTTAAAAAGCAGGGTAGAAATAAAGAGAAGTGGAATTTTTTTATTTTAATGTAAAAGTGATTGTAAAAGAATTTATAGCAATATTTTGTTTTATTAAATAACTTAGAATTTTTTCAAATATTAAATACACACTTAAAGAACATATGTTTTGATGAAATAAATTGATTTTGGCATAAAGCTGCAAACAATTATGAATATAATCCTTTTTATAACCTATTTGTGAATTACAGTAAAATTTTACAATTTCATTAAAACATTGTAAACTTTCTAGGGTTAAGATTCTTCTATGCTGTGGCTTATTTCATCATGCAAATATTTATGATTTAATTCCATCTGGCAACGCCAACGACCAATGCACTTAGCCTTTCCCCACTGTCCGCCCCAAGAATCCCCCACACAGAGCAACAACAAAACCTCGAACTCATCATCTGCCATATTGAAACTCCATTTGTTCGAGTGTGTGTGTGTGTGCGAAGTGCGGAGGCGACAAGTTCTTGGAACCCGTTGTCAATTGAGTTGGATGTGGATGCTGGAGTGGTTTTTTTTCTGAGCTGGGCGCTGCTGCTCCAAAACAGACAACGAAGACAAAGCAAGCAAAGAACCAAGAAGGGAGAGAGAGCGAAAGAGAGCCACAAAGGAGATGTATGTGAAATGCTGGAACCATGGCTTTCACTGCATTTCTATACCTGCACACACACACACACACACCGACATTAACTTGATAATTTCCAAAACAATTACCAGAATGCCAGAAATTTACCTGACTTTCAGGTACCAAAAGAGTGCAAAAGAACATTAAGTGGGATTTTTCGAGCCCTTCAAGGAGAGAGAGCGAGAGAGAGAGAACGATTCCTCAACTACCTGTTACACTCGTTCTTCCTTTTAGCCACAGTTCTTTCTTGCTCTCTTTCTCTCTCTATTCCTCTTCGTGAGCCCAAGATTCTTTTTCTTTTCTACCTGTCCCCGAAAGAAACTATCTCAATTGTAAATTAAACATTTCAATCCATAAAATGCGGCTTATCTGGGAAATACTAATATATGTACATATATATAGCCTATATAGTAGCCCCATCGAGTGCTTGAATTCGATTGTACAAAAGAATTAAAGCCTTTGAGGATGTCGTAATATTCAGTTAGTTTCAGTATTCCACTATTTCCACTGATAAGACAAACAAAAAACTACAAAACGTATAACAAAAATGGGCATGGGTGTTATAACACCACAGATCTGAGATTGATATGAACAAAAAAGATCGGAGATTGGAAATTGGGAACTTTAGTGATGTCTGAAGGTTCCACTTGACTGACATTCAACGAAGAGGAACTTTATAAAATTCAAGGTTTTCAGATTTTTACGGGTTCTTAAGATAAACCCAAAGAGAAAGGGACGAAATAAACACCGTCTAGCAAGGTTCATGGTTTATTTTCGTTTTGAAAGGCTTTAGGTTAAAAATACAATCAAGTTATTTAGTTCTATTTAATTAATACTTTTTTAGTACTTTGAATCGTTTTATAATTATTCTTACTACCAAAGCTCACAACCTTTTTATGTATTATTTGTTTTCATAGAATTTGCATAACTTACAGCTTAAACATAGTTAATACGATTGAAATATCATCTATATAATTATCAATAATCAAATTTATGAATAAACAAGAAGGCAAACTAACTTCGAGAAGCCGAAGTATAAGTACCCTTGCGGGAATCAGTCATAAATAATCTAAAAATATTTACATTATTTGTACATATTTTCACAATCGATATTTATTGATATATTTCTAGGAGAATTTTGTCGACTAATCAAAGTTTTAAAAACTCACAACTTAGCCAAAAATGCATGTATTTCAAATCGGAATGCTGTTATGTGCTAGTTTTTATTAGGTTAATAAATCTGCATACTCAATTTAAAACCTACAAAGATTTGAAAATTTTTCAATTTTTGAACAATTTAATGATGTTACCCCTTATAAAATGTTGAAAAAAATGGTCAAATTTGTTTTTCTCCAGGAGATGGCTAGATCGACTCGGCTTTTGATGCTGATCAAGAATATATATGATTTATAGGGTCGGAAATGATCCCTTCACATAGTTACAAGCTTCTGACTAAAATTAGAATAGCCTTTTAGGGTATAATAATGATATTAACATATACCCGCCAATTTAGTTAAAAACGCAGAAAATCGATTTATGATAATTTTTCTATTTACGTAAACTTGCCGCTAAATAAACTCACAACCAGTAGATGACTTGATTTATTTTTTTTTATCTGCGATCTGAGCTTGGAACAGGAAAATATAGCCCCGCGGGAAAGATGTAAATTATTTGTGCAAAACGAAATATAAATAAACGACCCACGCCACGGGTCTGGGGTCCAGTCCCTGCTCGGTCAATAATTATTGGGATTGCAACCTGAGAGCCGGACGAGAGCGACAATAAAAATCAGTTATAAAACCATTAGGCCCATACATATGTGTGTATAGAGATATATCCCTAAAAAAGCAAACGACTACTGTCTGGGCGCTATAAATAGCGCCAGAGAAACCGCAACGAGCCGAACCGAACCGAGAGCTGAAGCCTTAATTGCCTATAATAAATCAGATTCAATCCAAATCAATCCCCCCTTTTCAGTTGTCAGCACAAACATGTCTCATATTTCGCACAAGTTACCAGATTTTGATAGAAATATATATGTACATATATAAGAAAGGAAAAGTTGGGACATGATAAGACCCATGCCCAGGAATAAATGTTTAGATAAAGTTTGTTTTGGTCGCCAATCGGTTTGAATTCAATATTGTTTATGTCTCTCTTTCTTTGCCAGTATCAGAAACGTTCACACGATGCACAGAGAAAAATATATATATCTATGTTAAGATAATCAAGGAAGTCAGGGATATACAAACTTGATGATTGTATAAGTAGGTGTATTATAAGTATTGATTTACTTTAGGGAAACCCAAAAGATGTATGTATTATGTTCTACTTCTTTAATGTTATGTTTGTTTTTAAGTATCTACACATTTGTAGTATATTTTTTCTCTCAGTGTACCATTGCCATTTCCCTTTGGTTAATTAATTTGGCTTAGTCATCTTCTGCCGAGCGAAATCGAACATCAACACGTCTGAAAATTCGCCGAAAAGTTGTCTGCGTCACGCATTTAAGACCTGGAATGAAATAAGATACATCATCGGCTCTGTAGATACTTCTTCTTCTGTAGATACTTTTCCCGTGGGAGCGAGCTTTTGCAACTTGAGCAATCTAAAACCAAAATGGGTCTCTGTGTTTATTTTCGTTTGAGCTGGTCGTTTGCCAAGTATCGCGTGGATACTTGAATATTTAGATACTGAGATACTTGAATACTTCGATTTTTGGATACTTTTGTTTGTCTAATCAATTAATGGGGCGGCTTGACTCAAAGCAAGAAAAATCCCAGCTTGTATCTGAGTAAAATATATCTACAATACCAAAGGTCAGAACGTGGTTTTAAACCACATCAGTGGAGAGTATATAACCCTTAAACCCTGTAGAAATCTAGAAGAAAACTTGCATATTTAAATATAAAAATGTTTGTAGACAAGTCAGCTTTTTGCTAGCATTTACATAAATATCGAATTGCAGTCATGTTAATTAGAGAAACTCAGTTATAACTTCTACATATAAATGTCAAAAACACTTGTCAGGCAGTAATTACGATTTGAATTGGGAAAGACTCGAGACTAGTCATGACCTAAAAAATAGCCTTTAGCGGACAACAACTTTTCAATAAATGAACAGACATTAAACTGTGAGATTTGATGAAAAAGCAAGCTTAACATTTCTTTAAGTTAAGAATAAAATGAATTTTTTAATGAAATACAAAAGAAAATTCTATATGTTATAATATATATATGTATATAAAGTTCTCAATTTTCACAAGTGTAGCTCTTGAGCACTTTCACTTTTTCAGCAAAATATTGTTTGGCAAAGCCTGCAAATATATATCATTATAGCTCTATGTATGGGCTATAGCTTGATATATATAAATATATATATATATGTATGCCTGGTAATCAAATCTGTAGCCGAGGGTAAAGTGTTGGGCGCCTTGTCTGAATGGTTCAAATTTCGTTTTCATTGCGGTTTAGCTTTATTTCAATTTCAATGCAAAATCACCTTTACTTCTATAACGTTTTATATCTAGAGCAAATTCGACCAATATTCGAATTTCGTATCCATGAATCAATGAACTTTCGTCATAAAAAATATACAATAACAACATAACAACAATTTCCAACGAAACCCTAGAGTAGAAGGAAAATTCGAGCCGCTGTCGTTGTGGCCAGTCAAGCGGCTAAAAATGTTGCAATTACTAATATACTGGTCTCTGGTTACGCACACCGTCTATATCTGAAAGGTCTATCTTATCCGACCACGTTTGCCACTTAAGCGCTTAAGTAATAAGTACCAAATACGACAACAACGACGACTACGTCGACGACGACAGAGCTCCATGGCGAGCCACTAAGATAAGCAACAGATATAGATACTTAGGAGCTGATAGTACGGATCTCTGGGTCGACATTCCAAAACTAGAACATAAGTGTGAGTACCCACAAAATCCCAAAAAACCTGCATTGTCTATTCTGGGGATTGCCTAGCAGATAAGATTCGTAGCCTCCAAATATTTGAAATATTATTATTATAAAGTTTTGGTAATCAACTTGGACAAATCTGGAGTGATTCATAGCACCAAGCACCTGCTCTAAGGTATCTTCTTTGGGCCAATATATATATATAATCCATATTCTGTTTGTGCATTTATATATTTGAACTAAACCTGCCCTGGGTCAATTTATCTAGAATATATAGGATATCAAAGTCTGAAATATGCAGGATATGAATTACTTTCCCTGTTTAATTTACTCATGGCAGTATTTTAACAACTGCATGAAAGCAAAGATATAAATATATCTAACATATATAATTTATGTAAATATATTCCAATATCTGGAAACCCCAATCCATGGGTAATCGGAAATCTTTCTCACCTTGAGTCATATATATTCTTATACATTGATTCATATTAATTACTAAAATACCTAGGCCTGATTTGGATCTCTAATTAGGTTAGCTCTAGGATTACTCACTCTCCCAGATTCTTAAGTTCTCAATTATATACCTCCCTCTCTCTCTCTCTCTCTCTCTCTCTCTCTCTCTCTATCTCTGTGAGTATCCCTCACTTTTTGGCATAAGTTTGCAACCAGAGAAGCCAGAAGAATCCCCAGAAAGGTTCAATCCATTCGGCTTTCCAGTAAGCCATTTGCCGAATGCATGCCGAAGTGGTCATAAGAGATAGTAATACCCAGAAACTTTGGTTACCCACAGAGAGAAAATAAGAGAGACACAGAGAGTAGGTTAGTACACCGAGAGAAAAAGCATTTAAAATGCTTTCTGAGAAGAAGCTCCAGCTTGGGGTTACTGGAATTTCTTAGTCAATGAACTGTTGAACTCTCATTCTTCTAGGGGTTAACTTTTGATATTAATTTCCCAATTAGTCAAAGTTCTTCTGTAATGATATTCGATACAGTTTTCTCTCTGTATGAATACGTATACCCAGTAGGTTCTCCCCTTTTGGACAACTCTGCATTAAACTCAATTAAATTGCTGATTTGACGTTTCTCCGGCACTGGGCTTCCACTTATCTTATCGGCTATGGCCGTCTCTCCTTGGCCAAAATGAGAGCTCGATAAGACAGTGGCAGCCGGAACGGAAAAGCCCTCTCCCAAAGAATTCGTAGAACGTAGAATTGGAAACCTGGAGAACGAAGAACGAAGACCCGGAGCATTGTATCAAGTCGCGAGCCTTGCAGTTGCGAGGAGCTAGCCGCGGCAAGCGGAGCGCACCCAAATCCATTCGACACCAGAACTTCAACCCTATCCCAGTCTGTAATCTTAAGCGAAAGCCACGAAATCGGAACGCGTCTAGGAGCGGAGATAACACACCGGTAGCACAATGCTGAACACCTTTAGTTCGGTGAGGCAGTACCTCAAGTTCGATATCACACGGGTTGTCATTGACAACATCGTGTTTAAGCTTCACTATCGATGGACCTTTGTGATGCTCCTGGTGGCCACTCTGCTGATCACATCGCGTCAATATATCGGCGAGCATATACAGTGTATATCCGATGGTGTCATTGCACCTGTGATCAATACCTTTTGCTTTTTCACACCAACCTTTACAGTGGTAAGTGATGAATGATTTAGTGATGGGATCACCTTTGACACATTTTGATTATGACACTTTAAGTTGTCCTGATCATATGTCATTAGACTGATGGATAGGGATCACTATAAGTAGAAAGAGAGGTGTTTACCGATTGCGATGAACACCTGGAGGGTCAGTTGATTGGAGATCACCAGAGAAGTCCTAGGAATAGTTAACAGATAGAAACAGAGAAAGTTCTCCTAGCGACGATACATTCATTGGGGTATCAAGATAAAGTTATTTATAAACACCCGGGGGGTCATTAAGATCGCCAGAGATTAAATAGGAAGTGGAAACTAATAGATAAGGGTATACTCCTCCTAGGGGTCATTAGAGACATGCTTTGGGGTCTCATTCAGAAGTTATCTTTCTGATTACCCATAATCATTATCAGTTACCTTACCCTCTTCCCCCCAACTAGGTGCGTGACCTGAACCACACCGCTTTCAAGCCAGGCAGTGAACCCCCTGGCATTGGACATTATGATCCCGAGAAGCACACTATCAAGCGGCATGCCTACTACCAATGGGTGCCCTTTGTCCTGTTCTTCCAGGCCTTGTGCTTTTATGTGCCACATTTCCTTTGGAAGAAATGGGAAGGCGGTCGGGTCAAGGCTTTAGTCTTTGGCCTCCGGATGGTGGGTTTGACCAGATACCTCAAGAATGACAGTCTCCGGATAGGGAAACTGAATATTCCATCCATGGCCGAGGCGGAGGAGCGCATCAAGGACATACGGCGCACGATGATTGATAGGATGCGTTTGAATCAATCCTGGGGAGCTCATTTAGTGTTTGCAGAAATTCTGAATTTGGTGAATCTATTGATACAAATCACTTGGACAAATAGATTTTTGGGTGGTCAATTCCTGTCCTTGGGCCCACAGGCCCTAAAGGCCAGATGGTCCAATGAGGTGAGCATATTGGATTTGGTCTTTCCCAAGGTGACCAAGTGTAGGTTCCACAAGTTTGGTGCCTCCGGATCACTGCAGGATCATGATACCCTTTGTGTGATGGCTTTGAATATTATGAATGAGAAGATTTATACCATATTATGGTTCTGGTATGCCTTCCTCTTGATTGTTACCGTGCTGGGCCTCATCTGGCGACTCTTTACGCTGTGTTTCTATAGAAAGTAAGTTGAAATAGATCCTGTAAACCTGTTCCTCTTCCTGATTATTAACCTCTAACCCCTGTAACCCTAAACCTCCATCCTACCTCCTCTAGTGTTACCTTCACCCGCTGGTCTTTGTATTGGGCCAAGCCTGGAAGACTGGATGAAAACGAACTTTCTGCGGTGATTGACAAATGCAACTTCTCCAACTGGATGTTCCTCTTCTTCCTGCGCACCAACCTCTCCGAGTTTCTGTTTAAGAAAGTCATCTACCATTTGGCCAGCGAATTTCCCAATCCTGACCATGAAAACGACATCAATGCCTATCGTGACTTGGGCTCAGCGCCCCCGTCATCGTCCGGTAAGGTTCGATATCCGAATATCAGCAATCTGGACACTGTGGACTCGCCGCTGCTCCATCTCCGGCATCCTGGTACAACCACAACGGGCAGTACCACACCACCCAACGGAGGACCCAATGGCAATGGTCTTGGCCAACTGCCAAGCACTTCGGAGATGTCCAAGTTGCCTGTTTAACTTAATTTATTCATTTCAATTAAAGCTAAGCAATTAATTATTCCGACTTTTTTTTGTTTTTGTTTAATTTCATTCTTTTCATTTCATTTTTAAATATATATATATATTTATTTTTAAGGAACACTTTGCTTTGTTTTAATGTGATTTAAAGGCAACAGGTTTTTTAGGGGCCAAGTCTTAAAATGGCGACAGCAAACGGTAATTTCTCGTTTGGTATTTCAACAAAAAAGTATATATAAAAACATACACAAAACCAGACACCTTCAGGGGGCGTGGGCGTGGCCTTTTCCAGTTTTTTTATTTTGTATTTTTTTTACATCGAGTGGCGACTGCGGTTTGGTGACCCAGTTCAAGTCATCCGCTGCGGTTTCGAAAGTGTTTCTTGGTTGTCAAACCGAAACCCAGTAAAATTGTCTAGCTGGAGTGCCTGGGTCATTGTCTCTGGCCCCTGTCTGGGAATTTTTCAATAGGTTTTGCATTAGAAGATTCCGAGATATTTGCGGTTGGATAACCCAAACTGTGTGCCATAGAAACTATTCTATTTATACATTAAGTTTTAATAATTTCCCTTTTGGAAAGGTCGTGCAATGAATAACAAATAACAAATATAATATATGATATAATATAAGGTATAATTAATAAGGTGTAAGATTTATATATGAATTCCCTTGATTTTACCTTAGTTTACCTCGAATTATCTCAGTTTATATACCGAACCCACCCACTTAAGTGATTGACACTGCCTAGACGTTATCTTTTCTAGACCTATAAGACATTTCATTGTCTTGACATCAAAAGATCTTGAGTTGTTGTTGATTATTTGCAGATAATTCGTAAATACATATATACATTATAGTAAAAAGTATAAAGATGTCCGATAGCATATACAAATTGAGCCAAGGCTAAGAAACTCATTAAACAGGATTCCCTTGCCTCATAAGCTAAATAATTATTTAAAATATAAATAAATAAAGTAAAATCTTGTCTGATTCCCATAGATAATGCTGAGACTTAACACATTCCATTCTGCCATAGTGTGGTCCGTATTTGGTTAGTTTTTTTGTTATTATTGTCCAGTGGAGTTATCAATTAGTATGAAAAGCTTTTGGGGCCAACATATTTTGCACTTGGTTTTGGTTACTATTGCCAAATCGGTGATGTTGCCTCACAAGCTGCAAGGTGTAATGGCAAGCTAGTTATGACACCTGCCTGCCACCGAAAGTGGCAGCTTAGCAGCTAAAGCCATCAGTTAATCTTCTAATGATTATACACAGAGCATAATACTATATAATACAAGAGAGTTTATGGAGATTTAGTCCCAAGAATGGTAACAATAATTCAATCTAGATACAATTACAATTATTTTAAAAATATTTAAAAGTATTTTAATACTCTTCTTCTTGCTAATTGCCTGACTCTAATATTTATCAAATTATATATCTATATTTCTTTAAATTTAAATCTGACAAGCACTTAATAGTGATATGATTTCGTCTATGTGTAACTGACAAGATATCACTTTGATGGTTTGCGGTCAATGTCAACCAGCTTGTCGGCCAACACAAAAGTTCAACTTTCAAATGGACTCCAACGACTCCCCTCGGGGACTATCTCTATCTCGGTCTCAATCTGTATCTAAATCTGAGTAGAAGGGGACTATCTCTGTCTCAGTCTCAATCTGTATCTAAATCCAAGTCGGAGTCTGGCTGCCGATCAGGTTTATTTCTTGTCGCCTTTTGTCGCCCGCACGACAAGATTTCCATCTTTTTTTTTGGTCAGAAAACAACTCGATTTGGGTCTGTTCTGCTTTATTCTATATATCTCCATCGACATTGCCTGCATATCAAGTGATTTCTTTCGCTTGGCCAGCAAAAAGAGCCCAGCTCTCGAATATATCAAATAATAAATAATGTGGCTTAGCTCTGTCAATGCCCTGCAATTGTGAGAGAGTCTTTAGGTTTTGGTATGAGTTTTGAGACTATTTGTGTAATGGTTGAAATATTGATTACTTTTTATTCCCTTGCAAGGGTATTATAATTTTAGTCAGAAGCTTCTAAATTTGCAATGGAGTCATTTCCGACCCTATAAAGCATATATATTTTTGATCAGCATCAACAGCCGAATCGATTTAGCCATCTCGAGTAGAAATTTTTTTTTTAATTTTTAGAAAATTTTATAAGGGGTTACATCGTTAAAATGATTAAAAATGTATCAAATTTTTATTTTTTGTTTAATTTTTAGTTAAGTATGTAGATTTGTTAACCTAATAAAAATTAGCATAGGACAGCTTTCCGATCAGAAATTATTGATTTTTTATCTAAGTTATGAGTTTTTAAACTTTAATTAATGATCTTAATAATATTTTATACAAATAATAAAAGACTTTGACTATCTTCATTATAAATAAAAATTACAAATCTATTTTGTTCTTGAAATATAAATCAGACCTAGTTGGTTCTTATTATAAAACTACATATTTGTAAGGATATTTAAAACTTCGACTTCAAGCTGAAACCAACATTTATTTTCCCCCTTTTTTGTCATTGTTTTTTGTTCTTGTTGTTTCTTTTATTTGTTGCTTTTGTTGCCATTGTTGTTTCAACCCCCCGATCTGGTGAATGACCGTTAACATTTATGAGATCGAATTTGGAGATCGAAATGGACTTTTTGGTTTGTCTCCGTTTCTCGTTTTGGGTATGACAAGTATTCTTGTTTTTCTATGTTATTTTTTGTAATTCCTGTGACTTGTTTTATTGAGTTGTCTGTGCTGGGAGTTGGAGATTGTCTAGGTGTTTCCATAGTGTGTTTTAAGAGGTGCGCCTACTGTGCGATTGATGTGAAATTTGGTATAGGAGAAGATAAAGATCCTTGGAAGCATGGTCAGAGTTACATAAAAGCCTGGCTTTCATCGAAACCAATATAACCCAATCTAACCCAGGTTACCTCTCCCATTTAAGCTATATAATGTGCAGTCTAGACTGCCCCTAGGCGGAATACCTTATCAATTATCCAAATTGAGGCAACAATTAACACTTTTGAACTTTTGCAGCTGCCTGGAATTTCTCTTTTTATTTTTTCGGCTCGAAATCGAGGGTCTTACGTGAGATCTATTATAATGCAATGTCTGGAATATTTGTTGCCAATAAATTGTATGCAATTGGGACACTTGTTGCATACATTTATTTGCCAATCTCTTGGGCATGCAAATTTATTTCAATTGCATTTAATTTGTGCGGATTAGCAGACACCGTCGTAAGACCACAATAGAAGGGGATCCTGGGGAGGCTACGGGAGTGTACGGAGTGCTATATGAGTACGAGTTTACAGTACCCCCAATTATATGAGACAAGTCCCAATTTATGGCGATTTATTAGCAATTTAGAGAAGTTCAGTCTGGGCCTCATTTGCTATTCGAATTTTTGAAGTAACTTCCTACCATGTGATTTGGGTTTTATGATAATTTTCTATGGGGAGAGGGTTTTCTTAATGTTTTGTTGCATTAAATTGTAGTTTAAAGATTGAAAAATATTTGATTTGAGATGGAAGACTGCTAGGTTACTTTAAGATGCATATAACTTACACATAATTTATTTGTAAATAAACCAAAGAATAATCTTTCACCAGTCAAATTGAAGTTTACGAGAGTTATGGCAAAATCTAAGGACTTAAACTAAGAGGGTTTCGTTGTTCGAATTTCATGAGGATTGTTATATGAAAATATTTAAAATAAAATATATAAAATAAAATATATAAAATAACATAAACTGTATAAAATACTATTTATTTTACATTAATGATTCTTAGATCTTTAAAAATACAATCCACAATTAAATAGAAGAAACATTTATCCTCGGCACCCATTTTTTCCCCCGAAAAATCCTCTCTTCATTGAATAAATTTTCCCATGTGAACGACCTTCGCGTCGTCGCTAGCCATTTTCCGCATTTTCCACCAAACAAGGAAGGAAAACTGACATTTCTTTGTGCTCCTTTGTGTCGTCATCTGGCGAGTCCTTGTTTCCTGGCTTCCGCGAATGACGCAAAAATCTCGGCGCGTAGGTCAGTTCGAGTGGGATTCGCATTCAGAGTTGAGTCCTGAGCAGAAACAGGAAGAGAATTGCAAACAGGAACAGGATATCTCTCTCTCAAACACTCTCTCAATCTCCCGGTCTCTCTGTTTCTCTGCCTCGATTTGTTGGGTGGGAGAGATCCACCCCCAAATTAAGGGACTCATGACGCAGCATTCGCAACGTAGGACAAGGACTTTGCCAGGAAGCCAAAAGCAAATGCATTTTCCATTTGAAATTCATGAATTCAGCTTGGATTTTCAGGGTTGCCCGGAATTGTTTTTAGGGGTTGTTCTTTGGTTATTTCTCTCTTTATGCCCTCTCCTTTATCCGCCACTCCTGCTGTTTCCACACGTTTTTCGAAATCTCTGGAAAATGCCAAAGAATTTTCCAAATGCTATAAGAGTCTGATTTGTGTTTTATTTTTATATATATTTTGGGTTTTCTGGTCTTGACAATGACCTTGAACATCTGGCAAGCAGATAGATTTATTTATAAAAAAAACTATTAACAAGGTATATATTTGTATATATATGTAGTATGTATAAACAGGAAATCTTTTACAACTTTGTTTACACAACTTATCCTTCAGTTTTTAAAGCTATTGACCCCAGATTTTACAGAGTTGATAATGAATTTTAAAATATATATATTTATAATCTCATGAGTTTCTTTCATAACGCAATTGAGTTGAGACTTTTATGTGATAGTTTCCAAACTCTATATAATATTTATTTATATATAGGAAGACCTGGGCTTGATGACTTAAACCCCACCTTTCAGTGGGTATCTCTTTTGGGTGTCATTCACACATTATTCCATCCCATTTAACACCATAACACCCCTCAATCAACCTGTAAGCAACCTTCATTCCTATCTCTGGGTTCGTTCTAAATTAAATGGAATATTTATTTTTTGTATTTCATTTTCTTTCTCTTTCCCTAGAAATCTTTTAAAGAGGAGGGGGTAGAATTGGAAATTGATAGGAAGACAGGGCAAATGTGACAGTTGAAATGCTGATAAAGAATCAACGCGATGCGATTAAAAAATGTGATCGAAGAAGCCTCTGTTTCACTCGGGGAAAAGTTATAGAAAATGTATACTAATTTTCATATTCATTTGTAAAAATTTAGAATGAATAAGTTAGTTAGAATTAAGAGCATTTTACAGCTTCTTATGAATGCTGTTGGAAGAGTTAGTTGACTAATAAGAAAGTCTTTAAATAACAATATTAATTCAAATTTATATGTTTTATTCTCATTTTCTCTTCAAACAGTAAAGCTTATGTATCTGGCAGATCGTTGATCTCACATTTTATTGTATACATTGTCGGTTATGTTGTACTTATTCTGGTTTCTTTGGTTCTGTCACACGAGATCGGTGGCCAGTGCGAATTAGTGTCGCATGCCCCAATGATGATAGCGCCTCAAGGCGCTTTCAATTTAAGCAATTACCCAACTGTCCGTCTGTCTGTCCGCCCTGTCCGTTGAACTGTCCGTACATGGGGAGTACGGTAGGATGGAACTACGGGTCCACGGGAAACCAGGTTACACTTTGCGCTCTCTTTGAGCTTAATCAATCAGCCGCAAATTGAGCTGGCTTAAATGATCTCGTCCAATTGCCAAACGAAGGAATGTCAAATCCAATTCCGATTGATTGCATTCGGCCGTTCGATCGGAGGTCAACAGATCTCTGATCTTCAACCGCACAGAGAACAAAATAAGGGGTAAATTTTGGTATTTTTATACCTTTTAAATTTATTCAGAATCTTGTTACGATGTGAAGGAGTCATTTCCGACCCTATAAATCATATATATTCTTGATCAGTATCAAAAGCCAAATCGATCTTGCCATCTTCGGCAAAAAAATTTTTTTTCAATTTAAAAAAAAAATTTAAGGGGTTACATCGTTAAAATTTGGAAAAATTGATAAAAAATTTACATTTTTAATTGAGTATACAGATTTATTAACCTAATAAAAACTAGCACAACCCAGTTTTCCGATTTAAATTTAAAGCATTTTTGGCGGAGTTATGAATTTTTAAAACTTTAATTTTTCGAAAAAATTGTCCTAGAATGTCAATAAATATCTATTGAAGAAATGCGAATATTTTAGGCTTGATGTTATGATTTCTTTCCCATTCGGTCCCAAAATGTAATTAAAAGGGTATATATTTCTGCTCACATTTATTTCAAGTGTATTTTCGATTCCATGGGGAATTCAGAACTTGGAGCTCTGAGATCTCAGATCTCATGAAAGTATGTCACAGTTGCCGATCAAAGACCCGACTATTTCAGCATTCAAGGTGCTCCTAGAGCAAATCGAAAAAGCATCGAGGGTTGCACCATTTCGTTGCAGCTTCAATTAATCGATTATTTGATTATTCTTCAGATGCAATGTATCTTTAAATGCTTCGAAATTATTACTACAATTTAAAGAAGAAAGTGTTTGATATATTTCCAAAAAAGGAATCTATCTTATCTTGTTCCTGATGTTTTTATAATTTAATCTCAAATTAAACTTGAAGAATTGAAAGGAATACCAAACTCTTTGAACGAAAAACTGAAGAAATTGAAAAACCAGAATCAAAATGTATTTCTTATTCAGAGTAAAGAATCTTGCTGATAATCAATAATAACTTCATGGTAAAAACCTTCACCAATATTTTGTAAGGCTTCTGTTTTGGCTTTCATCTGATCCCGTTTTAAAAATAATGATGAAATTCATGTGATTAACCTTTTTCTGGAAACTCAAATCTCCAACAAATTCGAAAAGCACTCAAATTGCGCAAGCGTGGCTTGAAGAGATTGAGCGAGAGGCAGCTGGAAGAATTGAGTGCGAGAGAGTATCTGTAGATATAGCTGTCTCTGCATTCATCTCACCTGCGCTCGCCAGTGTTCCACTCTCAAACGTTCCCCACTCTCGGCCTTCGTTTCAAACCCAGCTCGTTCCAGGCCCCCCTCAAAATGAAAACATCTTTTGTGTTGGAGTTTTTCTCAATTCTTTTTTCATTTCTTCTTTCGTGGTTTGTTGTTGTTTTTGGTGATTTTTCTCTATACTAGAATGTGTGTATTTATTTGTGTCAGTTTCTTTATTACAACTTACAATTAACAGAGACTTAAGGGCTATGAAAAAAAAAAACTGTGATGCGGCATTCAGTGTGTTGTTTACAAAGCTTTTGTTGATTGATTGTCCCGCTCTCACGCTCTCTCCATCTCTCTCACCGCGCCAATGAAGTGAGAGTGAGAGTGAGGAGCGCCGCTGTTGCTGCAACGACCACACCCCATATACCGTTGCCCACCGTAGCGGCTGCATTGCAACCGTCCGTGTCGCACGTGTAGATGCAACTACGGTAATCCATGCGGTCGCCCTTATTCCGGACATAATCGCAATAGTTGCCCAGATCCTTGGAGCTGCAGAAACGCTTGGCCCCAATGCCGCCCTCGAAGCGACCCACATGCTTCACACAAAACTGGGCGCCATGAACGCTGGAACAGTTCTGGGGCTGGATATCCGGCTCGTCGTAACGCTCGAACCATTCGCCGCACTGGAACGGGTGCTGTGTGTCGCTCGTGTCGCACACGTAGCAATCGATGGCGGTCACTGTTGGCATTCGCAGGCTCAGCAGGCCCAGGACCAGTAGGAGCAGGAAGCTTTCCGTCATCATGATGGGAGAGCGGAGAGCGGAGGTGGTCATTGCGTCACTGGCGATTAATCTAGGGTATATCAAGTATCGAGTATTACTTTTAGCAGTCAGCGTCGTGCCAAGTTCGTACTGGGACTGAGACGGTGCTGCGACTTTGCTTCGTTTCCATCGTTCCATTTCGTTTCGATTCACTCACTTTGGGCCCACAAGAGGTTAAGGTGTGAGGGGGATAGCGGGTGGCGGTCGAGAGCTAGAGAGAGAGAGAGAGGGAGCTGTCCAGCTTGGCTCGTTTCTAGCCAGATCTAACTGGTTTCAAAGGTCAACCGTAGGTCACCTAGGTCGCCAACGAAATATTGTTAGCAAATTTAAAGTATTTTTGAAAAACATTGCTCCTATAACTTGGAAATTGAAATAAGTATTTGTTTAAGTTTAAGTTTACGATAGTTTTAGTTAAAATAGATATAGATACAGTTGCAAGTCTGCGTTGTTTCCATGTATTTAGCAGACTAAGAATATAAAAAACTTAATATTATATCCATTTTATTTAATTTAACCACTTTATTTAACTTAGAAACCTCCAAATGAAGATTTAAGTTGGCATCTCTAATGCTGACTTGGCTCTCTCTCTTTCATTCCCTCTCTCTCTTACTTGTCTTCCCTGCTAACTTGTTTGCTGTTGGCAACGGAAACCGGTTGCCTGGCAGCAGGCAGGCAGGTTTAGGGCTAACTCCTAGGGCTAACTGGTCTATCCATGGGATACAACTATCGTATGTACATCCTGCGCGGGCGCCCTTGCTATCGTTAATCGTCAATCGGGGCTGGGGTTATCACTTATCGGTTATCGGCGTTGACCCCACCTGAAACTTGTTGTGCAGCCAGCAGCAGCAACAGGTAAGGTATTTTGTACGTGACGCTAGCAAGCAAACATGCTCACACATACAAAGATACAGATACACAGATACAAAAGCAACCGAGCTCAGCTCTTTGTTCTTCACTGTTTTGTTTCCCAACTTTGAGGTCTTCGGTTGGCATTTTTGGTATGCTTTCTTAGGTGGTTTTAAATGCTCCAACCCAAGAGGGTATAACGACTTTTTGAAGTGGTAAATCAATCTCAATTTCAATTGAATTAGTGGTGCAAACTTTTTGAAGAAATTTTAACATAGATAGGTGTTCTTGAATATATAATACACCTTTTAGGATATTCCTAATTCCTTATCAGTATTCTTATTAATATATTGATCATTTAAGGGTATTCAAAGCTTCGATTTTTCAAGGTATCCCCCACAATCTGGTTCTTTTTCCGTGGAGTGGGCAACTCCCAACCAAAACGAGGGCATTCAACTTCATTCTACGCTTCTCCCACTGATTCTTCCATACGATTCTACCATTCTTCGCGTAGAGAGAAAGAGCGTAGCCAAAAGAACTGGCATTGTCAACCGATCAAGCCCGTAACGATCCCACCACCCTCCGTCACCCAAAAGAAGCCAGTTCAAGCCAAGCCCATGGACTTGGTAATTGAAAGCCAAGCCAGGCTTTCTTGTTTTGGACCCATATATAACCATATATACTTTGGAATGCACGAGAGAACATTTCACAACGTTCATCACTTCGTCCATCAGTCTGAGCTATTGAGTCATTGCGATCCCCACTTGTGGAAACACGAATTTCCACCTCATTATGGATTGAAGTTGGACATGATCTTCATCGGGGTGGTGTACATTAACGACCAAGATTCGGGAGAGGAGTTGTAGAAAAAGTCAAGTGCTATATGGGGGAGATTTTTTTAGACATTTAAATGCCTCTAAAGATTGTTTCTTTTTCGGGTAATTTCAGTTGTTCTCTGTCGGAATGCGAAGAAAGATCACTTGGCGATAAGTCAATGTACTCTTTATGCTCGTCAAATTGATCGCTTAATGACCGATTTCGAAAGCAGAGTTGGGCCATATGTAAAACAATTGAAAAAGGCCATAAAGGTCAATTAAATAAAATGAAGAAATACATTCAAATGTTTATTGATGCATTCTGTAGAAGATAAATGGCTCGTAAAATGGTTAAACATTTTATGAACATAAAGATTTTTGGGGTACTTGTAAGATTTTTTTCTAGTTTTAAAAATTAATGATCATACAATCTACTGTTGCTGATCATTCATATTTGGTGTACGTCCCACATTATTCTCAACTTTTTACTATATACTTTTCAGAATTGAACTATTTACATACTAGGAACTGATATTTTCTTGGGAAATTTTAACGATCCTGTTAGAGATGTTCGATGACCTTGTTTTCCCCCTGTTTCCTTCCGAAAAGGAACTCTATTTTAAGCATCTGTAGATGATTCTTTGCCTGCCTACATGATGAATTCCCATACCGCGGACGTTGATGATCTTCAAGTTCTTGAAAACAGATGCTCAGGCTATATATAGAATTCTTGGGATGTTTAACGGGATGCTGGGGTGTCCCTGCTTGCAGATTTCCCTTTTGTTTTCCAGTATTTTCCACTCAAGTACTTAAGTCTAACGATCTCCAAAGGAATATTTTGATTAAAATTATAAATGATAAGGTATATTATATTTTATAAGCATACTTAAACTCTAATAGACACGATCAATTTTTATAGTATAGAGTTGCATAGTCTCGATCTTTCCCATTTTTCTCTCAGTGAAAAGCCAGACATAAAAGGAATCTGCAACCCCCTCTATGAAGACCCCCTAACTCAATTCACCCTGCGTTTGTTTCCTCCTCTTCCTCTTTATTCGCCTCTTTTAAGGAAGCAAACCCAAAAAGGAAGTGGCAACAAAAAAAAACAGGAGCAGCTGCTGCAAATGAGCGAGTTGCACAAATGAGTGAGTTTCTGGCATCCTCTCTCGTTGAGAGAGTTATTACAGCACAGAGAGAGAGAAAGCAAACTCTCTGAGTGCCGGAGAGAGTGAAAGAGTAAGGATGCTTTATGTTGCAGTTGCAACACACTGAGATAAATCTACCTCGGCGGTTCGTGCTCCCGCTCACGTACAACCAACCATCGGTATCGATACCGCGACGATACCTGGCCGTAATGCCACGAAGAGGGCTTGCCAAGAGGGGCGGAGGGTCGTGTGGTTAATGGCCAGATTGCGACAGACGTGACACTTGGCCAGGTGAGGGAGCCACCAGCGATACCGATACCTTTACCTTTGTACACCACACGCATCTTTTTGCGGTACAATCTATCTTGGGTACAGTTTGTGGGTAAAAGTATTTATTTTAATATAATTTATTAACTTACATTCAATTTCTAAATATATGAAATATCAAATTAATTTTATTATTATTTAATTAAATACTTGAATGTACAAAAAATGTGAGTTTTAGTCTTCATATAACATTAAGAAATTTCCAAATATGTAGATTTTGGGGACCTTAAGTCGTTATTATTATATGGAATTTTTTTTGGGAAAATCTAAGTTTTAAAAATGTCATAACTTAGTCAAAAAATCATTAATTTTAATTCGGAAAGCTGTCCCAGGTTAGTTTTTTTAGGGATAACAAATTTGCATACTTAATATAAAATCTAAAAAAAATGTACATTTTTTCCCATTTTCGAAAATTTTAGCGATATAACCCGTTATAAAAATTTGAAAAAATTCGAAAATTTATTTTCCTATTAGACATGTCTAGATCGATTAGGCTGTTAATGCTGATCAAGAATATATATGATATATAGGGTCGCAAATGACTGCTTAACACATTTCTAAGCTTCTGAATTATAATACCCTGCAGGGTTAAAAAAATACTTAATTAATTATTTTAATTGATTTTTAAACATAATAATCCTGCAAATAACAATATCCTGGGTTAAGTTTAATAGGCTTTCGCCTGGTTAATAAAACACCCGCAAAATCGTGCGTGGGTTATAACCCCCTGATCGTTGATTGTATTCATAAAACCTCCAACTCCGGACAAACTTCAATACGAGAGGCTCCATTTACACACTTTTCAGATCCGTGGCAATGACAACGCACTTAACATTTTTTCCAAGCTCTCTCACTTTTTTTGTCTTAATTTTTTTTGTGGCTTGGCTTGGGGTTTTGATTTCTTTTCGTATGCCAGAAAGTGCGCAGTTTATTGTAGCCCCATAAAAATGACCATGTCAAGACGAACGAGCCCGAAAAAAACCTTAATTTTAAATTAAAGGCAACACGGACTCACCGCATGATACAAATGTGGATGGAGGGATGGGGACACGACCGATTTCTTTAGGGCCAAAAAGCAGAGGTAGAGCCAAGAAATATTTTGGGGGAAAATATTATAGATTTTTTAAATGTTATCAGAGGTTTAAGCCCGAAAAAGAATATCAATCAATAATTTGTTTAAAAATTACTCGCACGTTGAAGTTTGTATACCCTTGCAGATTAAAATTCGATCACTAGGAATTAATACAATATAAATTATAAATATTTATGTTAAAAAACAATATAGTTATGCCTACTTTCATTTCATTCATACATTTTATATATACAGTTTCACATTCACCGCTTTGCATTTTCCTCTATTTTCAAACGATTGTTTGTATGGCAGCTATATGATATAATAGTCCAACTTTCATTAAATATTACACAAAATTCTTGAGTAATATATAATGGCTATATACCAAATATGATGAAAACTAGAAAAGTTATAATTTTGTTTCATAAAATTTCTGATCCTTCCTATGGCAGCTATATATATGTATATATAGTGCACCGTTTCGCGGTGCTCCGTTTTATATACTAGTAAAATTATATAGACGAATAACTATAGTTTCACTCAAATAGCTTGTTCTTAAATTCATTCCAAAACAAATCTCGCACATCTATAATTATGATTCCCAACTTGTTCTAACATCCCCGGAACGAAGTGACTGCTGCCGGCCAAGTCTCCGAAATGTGTTGTGTTACAAAAGTTGCAAGTCATTGTTTATTAGTGCTCAAAGTTAGTAACTGATTATACATATTTACTTGTTATAGATACTTACTGATCATAGTTACTTGTCATAGATACTTACTTGTCATAGATACTTACGGTTCAGATTTACTTGCTGCTCATAGAAACTTAGTGACCATAGTTAATTACTGGTCATATCTAATTATTGGTCATAGTTAATTACTGATCATTGTTCTATAAATCGTCCGATTGTTCCTATGTCAGCTATATATATCTATATATATAGTCCACCGATTCTCCATGCTCCGACTTATATTTAGTAAAATTATATAGAAGAATAACTCCATAGTTTCATTCAAATAGCTTGCTCATAAATTCATTCCAAAACAAATCTCGCACATCTATAATTATGATTCCCAACTTGTTCAAACATCCCCGGAACGAAGTGACTGCTGCCGGCCAAATCTCAAAAATGTGTTGTGTTACAAAAGTTGCAAGTCATTGTTTATTAGTGTTCACACATACTTACTGGTCAAAGATACTTACTGTTTAAAGTTACTTTCTGCTCATAGTTACTTAATGTTCATTGATACTTACTGATCATAGTTACTTAATATTCATTGATACTGATCATAGTTACTTACTTAAGAATATATATTATATATGTGGTCAGAGTTGACTCCTTCACTGCGTCGCAAACTTCTGACTGCTATTAATAATACCCTGTCAGGGTATAAAAAGAAAGAAATATTTATATTGTTTGGGATCAGTTTAATCAGTAATATACCCTTATAGTTTATAATTGTTGTAATTATTCTTTAAAATCCTATGGCTCAGTGATATATACTTTTAATTTTTATTAAAGTATGTACAGTTTTGACCCCCAAAAACCGTCTAAAAACCCGCCTCTGGCCGAAACATAAGACAAAACCTGCAAAGGGGCGAAAAAAGGGACGGGAAGGGATTCAGCTTGCTTCGATTGGAATCGGGCTTAAATGCGGTTGCAATGGCAAGCACTCTCGGCAGTCCGATACATGTATATATATAGCATATACCCATATATATATGGCACATAACTGTAACTTGAGAGCCGCCCATATTGAGGGGCATAATGTTTGGCCGATTGACAAACTGCCTCAATGACAGACAGAACAAAGTGTGCGCACACGCCGAAAGAGTCAGCTAAAACGGAGGGGATCCAATATCAGACGGTTTTCGAGAAGAAGCACGTTCCTATCAGAATCTGATCTATCTTGGGAATCCGGGGAATCAAATGTGCTGAAGCTAGAATAATAGCAATTGCTCGGTGATATAAGAATTAAATGGGTAAATTGTGAGATTTGTACATTTATCAGGGAAAATCTTTGAGATTTGCCCTTTGAAAATATAAGTCGTATAAGAAAATGTCATAAGTTTCAAAATCTAAAGATTTGCATTTATTTCTATAAAATAAATGATAACAAGAAAGGAAACTAACTTTGCCGTTGGTTATATACCCTGGCAGTTTACAATCGAATTATAGGATCGAATTGGAAATTGATAAGAAATAATATTAAAATATTTACAATTTTGAATCATTAATTATTGATATTCTTCTCTGACAATTTCTTCGAAAAACCAAAGTTTAAAAAACTCATAACATAGCCATAAAGGCATTAATTTTAATTCGGAAAGCTGTTCTATGCTAGTTTTTGTTAGGTTAATGAATTTGCATACTCAATTGAAATAAAAAAAAAAATTAAAAATGTATCAATTTTTGAAAATTTTAACGATGTAACCCCTTATAAAATTTTGAAAAAATTATACAAATTTTTTTTCTGCCAAAGATAGCTAAATCGACTCGGCTGTTGATGCTGATCAAGAATATATATGATTTATAGGGTCGGAAATAATTCCTTCACAGTTTTACAAGCTACTGACTAGCTACTGACCCCAGGAAGGGTATACAAATTATGCAAATCTAAAATACAAATAGTTGCATTTATTTTTCTAAAAATAAATAATCAAAAGAAGTTTGGTATCTTAGATATAGTATGTCAAAAGGTATTACTTATGTTTACATTTTCTTGAAACTCCATTTAAACTATTAATCAAAAGATATTTGATATTCCATTAATGATCAGTTGGGTTGAGAATAAAGGAATGTTCTTTTTTATCATTTTAAAACTTTCTAGTTTTGTCCCAAATTCCCCCCCCAAAATATCGTATATTATTTGTTTTATTATCTGTCTTATTCCAAAATCCGGTTTGTTTCTAATTAATGCATCTTTAATTTTGAGATGAGCTCACCTTCAAGAGCCCGCAGATTGCAGAGTATTTCTTAAGTCGGTTGTGTACAGTGAAAGAAATGCTTTATTACAATGGTTAAAATTTCATAGGGATTGAATTTAAATACTTGAAAAATAATAATAGAATTAATAATTATACCAATAAAAGACAGAATTGCATTATCAAATAACTAAGTTATTTAGGAACTACATTTTTCTTCCTGTGCACTTTAAGAGAATGGAGTTTCGTGATTCGAAAAGCCAAACAAAAGAAAAGTTGGCCAAAAAGAATGAAAATAAGTGGACAAAAGCGGAATTCGAAATAAAAAAAGCGGCCTGGCAAGTAAAGTAATGGTAACAAAAGGCGCTCAAGAGGGGGTATGTGGGGGTGTATTGAGCAATACATATATATACATATTTCTCCTGGACAATTGCTGCTCCAATTTTAGTTCATTGCTAGCGATCACTTTAATTTAAGGCTTAATTCGTTTAAATAAACAAATATAGCGTGGCTCAGCAAGGGAGAGAGAGAGTAAAAGAGAGTTGGAGAGGCAGAGCGAAAGAGCAGCCAGGAGAGAGCGTAAGCTGAAGATGCCGCGAGAGACGAGAGATAACGCGTGAGAGCAACAGAGAGCGACTCAAACGCACTCAAAGTGTGTGAGCGAGAGAGCAACGGCGGCTCAAGCAAGAGAGAGCGCCAGCGTCGAGCACTGAACACTGAGCGGCGAGCGTGTTGAGTTTGATTTGAGTCGGGGCGCATGTGAAACCAAAACCAAGCGGCAGTCGACGGCGACGGCGACTCGAAAACAGAAAAAAGCACCGAAAAAACGGAGAAAACGCACACGGAGCTGGAAAAATCAAAGACAACAACACACAAACCGAAATCGTAACAATATACGATCTGAAATTGGAGAAAAATATAACATTTAGTGCTGCGTTCGCCAAAAAGGCATTTGTTGTGCTATAAAATTCGGTTTTTTATATATAATTGTGACGAAAACTCCTTGCGCATTTGGCGTTTCTTCTTCTCTTTTTTTTTGTTGTTTGTTTGAGTTTGCTGTGTGCGCGGTTTAATTTTGAGATTTCCCCCCGTCCCCCTTACGCTGGGGGGGTTTAATTTTTTAATGAAAACAATCAGAAGGAGAGCGAACGTGTAGAACCATAGCGAACCTGTTCCATGCTAATTCTACGGCCACCTGGCAGCTGATTCGAACGAAAAAAAAAAACACACGAAAACCGTGAGGAGGAAGAGCAGCAGTCAGGAGAAGCTGGAGAAGAGGAATAAGAAGAAGAAGAAGCAGGCGACGTGAACAAACACAAACAAATACCATTCACACAGACGACATTCATTCGTTTACTCGCTCGCACACACGTACATACACCTACGCGAGCGCGCCATGCTGTGACAACAACACAACAGCAACAACAAAATACAATATAAAGAAATAAACAACAACAAAGCCAAGCTTACAAGGAGCATAGCGATAAAGAGAAGGAGCGCCAACAAACGGTATTCTGCGTAAGTCAGTTAAAACAAAAATTTATTTAACAAAATGTACAATGTAAGAAGCGTGGCAAAGAATAAGATTAAGTAAATGCATTCTTCATCGGAAAGCTGTCAACAAGCTTTCAAGCCGAGCTTTTGGCTGTGTGCAAGCGGGATGGAGCGAGCTACTAGCGCGGATTTAGTTGTATAATCTTTCCCCCAGAGATTGACGCGCTTTATTGTCAGCCTTGAGGCGGTACTTTGATTACCTTGATTAGCAGCCATTTGAGTCAATTGGTCATGTGATCAGCAAGGGCTATGGGGCTGTATATTCCTGTATATATATATGTACATATATTTTATAAAAGATCTCTGATTAATTACTAACTTTAACTTGAGAGATACTCCTTAGTGCTTTAAAAACATCTTGGATATCATATTAAATATACATTCTTTAGGTTTCTAAGCCTCTTTGAACGTTATATGATAACTGGAATATTTTACATTCTTGCGATCTATACCTTTTAAAAAAGATTTATACAAATAAAGGCCAAGTCCAGGGATTGAGTTTTTGGAGAATTTATAAAAACAACTTATACATTAAAATTAGATTACAGATTGCATAGATATATTTATTTATTACCTTGCAGGGTATTACAATTTCAGTCAGAAGCGTGTAACACTGTGAAGGATTCATTTCCGACCCTATAAATCATATATATCCGTGATGAGCGTCAACAGGCGAATCCATTTAGCCAACATTTTAACAATTTTTTCAAAATTTTATAAGGGGTTACATCGTTAAAAATTTTAAAAATTATTAAAAATTTGAATTAAAAAAAATTGTTGAATGGTGTATGCAGATTTATAAACCTAATAAAAACTAGCATAGAACAGCTTTCAGATTTAATATTATTAGTTTTTTGCCTTAGTTATGAGTATTTAAAAAATAAGATTTTTCGACAACAGTCGTCATATTAAAATATTGATAACAAGGAAAGGAATTTAACTTCGGCATGCCACAGTTTGTGTACCCTTGCATATTGAAATTCGATTACTAGGAATTAATACAATATAAATTTAAAATATTAATGTTAACAAACAATAAAGTAATGTCTGCTTTCATTTCATTCAGGTAAATATTTTATATTTACAGTTTTACATTCACCGTTTTACATTTTCCTCTATTTTTAATGATCGTTTGTACGGCAGCTATATGAAATAGTAGTCTAACTTTCATTAAATTGTACACAAAATTCTTGATTAATATATAAAGGCTATAAATCAAATTTGATGAAAATCTTTTGAAAATTGGAAAAGTTATAATTTTGTCTCTTAAAAATTTCCGATCGTTCCTATGTCAGCTATATATACATATATGTATATATAGTCCACCGATTCGTCATGCTCCGACTTATGTACTAGTAAACATATATAGAAGAATAACTCATTCAAGTGGCTTAAATTTGTCGCAAAACAAATCTCGCACATCTGTGCATATGATTCCCAACTTGTTCTAACATCCCCAGAACGAAGTGACTGCTGCCGGCCAAGTCTCCGAAATGTGTTGTGTTACAAAAGTTGCAAGTCATTGTTTATTAGTGTTACATTACTGGTCATAGAAAGTTACTGATCATAGTTAATTGGGTTCCACAGATTCTTTAGTATTCTGTACATTTGTTAAGTTTTCGATCCCTTTTCTTCTGGTTGATGATCATTTTTCTTCTCTCTTTTTCAATCTTAGCCAACTCAACAATTGTTTTACCTTTTCTATTCTCCCAATCTCTATATATTTCCGGTTCTTATTTGATTTCTCTCCTATCCTGTTCCTACAATTATCAACATGTCCCCCGCCTTGAAATCAGTTCTCACTTCCCCTTGGAGATCTCTGATATTTTTCCCACCCAAACAAATGCTTTAATGGGCTTCTCCCTTTTTTCCAGCGACCTTTCTGCTTCTTGTGTTTCTTCCAAACATTTTCTTCTTTGATGTTCCTCTTATTAGCTCCCCTCTTTTCATCATTTCCAATGAATCTCTTGGCGCGTCATCATTTTTTTGTTTTCTTCCTACACAGAAAATAAAGATTTGAAATAGAGATGTATTTTAAAGTAGATTTTAATTTAAAACAAGCTATATTTTGTGGGATAAATTAATAAAAAGTTAAAGCTTTAAAAGTCAACAAATCAAGGACCTTAACTAAGTTTTAATTGATTCTTTTTTCCGGTGCATCATCGGCTTACCTTAGAAGTCTTAAGACTGGTTGGGTTCGGCGACATCTATGGCATCCCATCTCTCCGCTTTTGAGAGACCTTTCCCGCTACCCGATCCCTCTGCCACTCTCAAGCCACACACATTCTTCCCCCCTCCAAACGGAAATGGTCAATTTAGGTGACGCAGAAACAGTAGCCACTCATTGTTTTCGAGCATGTGTCTCCAATCAGAGAAGCCAACGCAAGCCGGGGGGAGGGAGAAGTATCCGTGAAAGGAGAAGCTACTACTAACTACTTCCTTGCTTTCTTTAGTTTCCTTTACCACCGTAAATATCCCTATTAAGTGCACGCTACTCTGCGGTTTCTCCGCTCTCCAAGGCCTGATCCTCAGCCATCCTCCCCAGCGAGAGTGCATGCAAAGTTACTACTAGATGGAATGGGATGACCGACTGGCCAGCTGTCGCGTACATAGAGCAATAGAGATGACAACGTGAGGTTAATATATTTTGATTTAATTAAAAATGGACTAGGAAAGAGGCTTATATTTTATTGTATGTATATTTAATAGTGAGTGATTTCCTTCTGCAGCGAGTAATCTCGTCCTGCAGCTAGTAATTTCGACCTGCAGCAAGTGATCTCTCTTCTATTTGGCATTTCCTGGGTGACTTTCGTGAGTCGTGCTTTTTAAGAAATACCATCGCTAGCACGTAACACACCCCGAAAGGGCGACTTCCGCTCTGGTGACCAGCTGCTAACCAAATAACAAAACAAAACCCAAAACCAAACCCTAATGAAAATGAATAAACCCAGGTCTTTGGGAGTAAAACTCGTACAGCTACCAATGCAATTAAGTCAGTCAGTCAGTCATTTTGTCCGTCCCCGGTGACGTCACAACTTCAAAAGGCACAGACTCTATTACAGAATACAAAAATAATGTAAATAAAAATAAAATAAAATAAATACAGCACAGATTCCGAATGCAACTGGCATTGCAATTGCAATTGCAATTCTCGTGCAATGTTTGCATTCATGTTAAGGTTAAGCATGTTAAAGCTTTTAAAAGACCCGACATGAGCACCACCAGCAACAAAGTATGTGTAAACAACACTAAACAGCAGACACAAGCAAACAAAAATAAAAAAGAAAAATTAAAAGCACACACAAACACAGGTGACAACAACAGCGAGCGTGCTAAATTTATTTGCCAAATGAAACAGATGCTAAAAATGTGAAAGCATTGTGCAAAGGCAGTAAGAAAATAATGTGGAAAGATTCCAGGTGGATGAAGTGCTAAAAACAAAAGGTTCTTCTATTTTTTCCTTTGCTTAATCTTGACTCAAATTAATTGCTATGAAAGAAGGAATGATTAATGATTCAATTGGGAAATATTCGAAATAGTTAACTTAAAATATTGTCATCTTTTATTAGCATATTAAAAGGGGTTTATCTTAATAAGGTTAACTTTCTAGTACCTTTTATAAATTTCTAAATTTATATATTTTTATGAATATTTACAACCCTGGTACATATTTAAATATTTTCCTATCTCTGTAGTATTCTTTTTAGTACGACAAAAAAAAAACCCATAACTAATAATAAATTCAAATTTCTTGTGCTTAAAGGTTGCTTAAATATTCAATATATAATACAGATCTAGTAAAAATTCCCCTCTCTGTTATATATATTTTTTCCAGTTAAGATAAATATGCAATTTCCCCAATAGGCATTGTATATAGAAATAGATGCTTACGAAAGCAGGTTTAAAAGCATGTTTGAATGTAATTACGGTGACCTTTTTGCAAAGCAATTGGTGCAGCTGACACCTAGCTTTCCCCCTCTTTTTTCGTCACATTTCCACACCTGGTGATGAACCCAAAACGAATCACAATTTGCACAGCTTAATTTCAACAAAATCCGCGCCAAAATCAACTAATGGATGATGGTCGCAACACTTTGCTGCTGTCGGTTGGTCGTTCGCTTGGTCCCATGGCCTTGGCAATGAAAATGCCTGGCAAAATGAAGGAAAATCAGCAACACAACAAGTGCCCAGCCAGCATATGTGTGTGGGGGAAATATATATATATATATATATATGAACATATGTGGAAAGTTAAGTGGCAGTGGGTTGCAGTGGGTTAAGGGGAGAAAATGCATACGGTGGGCGGTTGGCGGTGGGCCATTGTCAGCGGAGCCAACGGAGCGTTGAGGAAGCACATACTACAGCTGGGCTTTTGGGCCCAGGAAGGAGGCAATTTATGCACAGAATGGGTTAACAGAGAGAGGGGGGAGGCTAAGAGGCAGACGGCCTAGTCAAGTGCAAATGCAGCTAGCAGCTTGAGGAGCTTTTTTGTTTCTGTTTAAAGGCACTTAATGGGATTGCCCGACGACGCAGCATTCGAGTTTCGGCTGAATGCTTTCCATGAGAACCATCAGAAAGAGAGATCTTTATTTTTTCAGTTGGGGATTGTATATATCATAACTCCTTGGAACAGAATTATTATTTTGTTTGCTTACTGCATTTTCATTCAAAAAATCTTTGGTTATTGAAACTCGGTAAATGTCAACACAATCGGATACATGACCATTGAGGTGTGTTTATTTCCAGAGGAAAACTTACAGATATATTATTTCTATTTTAAATAAAATAATAAAATGAAACCTGTAGGGAAATGCCCCCCCCCCAATTAGACATCTATTGCTCAAAAATGTATCATAACTTAGCTAAAAATATTCGATTATTAAATCAATATTTTTATATGACAATTTTTTCGATAAACCAAATATAAAAAAACTCATAACTCAGTCAAAAAGCCATTAATTTAACTTCGGAAAACTTTCTCGTGTTAGTTTTTGATAGGTTAACAAATCTGCATACTTAGTTTAAAATTTAAGAAAAATTAAATTTTACGAAAATTTTAACGATAACACCTTTCTTTTTCTGGAAAAAATTAAAAAATTTTGAAACAAATTTTTTTTTGCAGGAGATAGCTAGAAAGATTAGCCCGTTGATGCTGATCAATAATATATATCATTTATAGGGTCGGAACTGACTCCTTCACATCGATACAAGCTTCTAACTAAAATTAAAATGCCCTGAAAGGGTATAATAATGCAAATATCGATATTATTGATTATAAAAAGATACAATAAATATCTATAAATTCCAATAAGCATGGAAAATATCTATATTGCCATGACATATATATTTTTGATTGATAAATAATTGCCTGAGGTAGTTTATAAGTGGAAAGAATCGAACACCTCGGTGTCAAAGAATCCGTAACGATTTAACATAATTGAGAAGGGGTCCCCCAGTGGCGCCTGGGTCAAATGCGTTGCACAAAGATCGCTGGGAAGAGCGACAGAGATAGACTAAGAGAAAGAGAGACGGAGAGGGAAGAGAGAGGAGTGCCACTAGAGAGGTGCATTGCCCCCAGATGCTGGAAGATACTCTATCGTCATTCTCCCGGACAGACAGAAAGAGCCACAGCCTCAGACTCAGGGGGGACTCGAACGCGATCTCGATCTCTGGCTCAGTCTCAGTCTCGGTCTCGGAATCCAACGGGCCACACAGCAGGCAAGTGGAGCAAATGCCAATTGGTTATTTAAATGGCGCATCAATTTTTTGTGAGAGAGCGAGAGAGATTCCCCAGCTCCGCTTTGCTGTGAAATGTAGGCTTTAATTGAAATTGAAACCGTCTCAAGATTCTATTAGTTTGATGTTGATTTATGCCAAAAAAAAGAAGGGAGAAAGAAAGACGAAATACTCGCTAGCTGTGCACATTTATCAATCAGAAGCTGCGCTTCTTGCTCAGCACAAAGTGATGTCTTCGGCGAACATCAAACTGTGCCGAAGAGGAGGTGTCTTTGCTTGTTTTCCAATCAGCGCCATGTACTTCAGAGATACCGCAGCGATAGCAGCCAGTATTTGCTTTCTTTTCAACACAGAAATTAAATTAAACGTATCTGATATGGCAGCAGTATATTTCATGCATATTATTTATAATGCATCTTTGCTAATTATCTTATTTTCTTCACTTGCAGTTGATATGCATCGAAGGCTGAAGGAGAGCAGGAACCGAAACAAGACCAGAACCGGCAAAAGGAAGTTAAAAACGAGCCCTGCTTAACACCTTTCTCTCTCCCCACACCTGTGGAGTATATACCACTGAGATTCCAAACCCCGATTTGCCACTGCTCGATATCCTGACAAGATGTACAAGTTGCTGGGTAGCCTCAAGAGCTACCTCAAATGGCAGGACATTCAAACGGATAATGCCGTCTTCCGTCTGCACAACTCCTTCACCACGGTGCTGCTGCTCACCTGTAGCCTGATTATAACCGCCACCCAATATGTGGGTCAGCCAATCAGTTGCATTGTCAACGGCGTACCACCGCATGTGGTCAACACCTTTTGCTGGATTCACAGCACCTTCACCATGCCGGATGCCTTCCGCAGACAGGTAAGAAAATCACAGATCTTTACATTTTAGGAGAAAACTATAACTAAATCAAAGAAATATTTGTACTACAGCATTTGTTAGATGAAAAACTTGAACATATTCCTCTAAATGTCATCTCGTGAAGTTAATTACTCACCGAAGCTAGCTTTGAATGATTTATAGAGCCTTGACTTTCCTAAATTATACTTAAATAAGAAAGAAGAAGAAAGAAACATTTCAACAATTAGTTCTATACTTTACAGGCTCAATTCAATGAAATCTTTTCAGATTCTCAAAGTAAAAAGATTTATAGTGTTCTCTTGAGAAATCTTCATTAAACAAAGCTCACCTATTTCCGCTCCATTTCATCTCTAGTGGCGGATGTCAGACAATTAATTTTGGCATTCTTGAATTCCTTTCAGAAATCCCTTTCCGTTTAGTTTATATGTATATATATAAATATATGTTCATTCTGTTGGGTTCTTTTTTGTCTGCCTGTCAAGAAGAGGCCTTCTTCTATACACTCTGGCTTCGAGGTAGAGGTATAACATATAGCTCATGTATAGTACACACATCATTTGTGCCCATGTCCGGGCCTATAAAGCAATTATAAACTGGGCGTAGTCGGTCTTCTTAATAATATTCCTCTTTCCAGCTGCGGGCCATGCAGCAGCAGTGATTTGTACTAAAGGAACAAAAACACTGAGAAAATGAAACAAAAAAATTAATACAAAACAAAGAACACAACTAAAACCCTTGCAACTTGCAGTTTCAATTATAGGATTGTTTCGGAAATCGACCAAAACCAAGGTTTAAATATAACCATTTTTTAATCAACAAATCAAAGTTTAAAAAACGCATAACTAAGCCAAAAAATCATTCAATTCAAATCGGAAAGCTGTTCTCTGCTAGTTTTTATTAGGTTAATAAATCTGCATACTCAATTTAATATTTTTAATTTTTGAAAAATTTATCGTAACCCCTATCCTGTTTTGAAAAAATTTTAAAATTTTTGAGAAAAAATTGTTCTGCCGGAGATGTCTAAATCGATTCAGCTGTTGATGCTGATCAAGAATATATATGATTTATATGGTCGAAAATGATTTCTTCAAATGTTACAAGCTTCTGACTAAAATTATAATATCTGCAAGGGTATAAAAATACAAAACAAAAACTACGAGCAAAAAATACAAAACAATAAATATAAAACAAAAAAACCTAATCGAAATGGCCAAATCGAAACCCTAAATTTGATCCTCATGGGAGGAGTTCATATGATTTATTTCGATGAAAGAGAAATATAAGAACTACAAGTTTTTTGTGGCTCCCTTGATAGTGTAGTAGTATAGTATTTAAAGTCAAAAATTTTTGATTAGATTTTATAAAAATTCCAAAGATTTATACCAACTCCCTTGATAGACTTAAAGAGCTGTTAAATAATTGTATACATAATTTTTTTTGCAGTGCAACCTGCCTGTTTTGCAGACTGCAGACTCTCATATTTCATATGTGAGAAGGGCAGGAAGCACAACTCCCTTCCTCTGCCATATATACATATATATTTGTTCGATTTCGTGGAAAACTTTTTATTTTTATTTTTGGCAGTTATAGTGTGCCGATCAAAGATCAAATTACCCTTCAAGTGGCACTAACTAAGTGAATTCTTTCTTATAAATTCGCTTTTGAATTTCAGAGTAGTAAATAAAATCTTGTTTTGAATAATCACAGAGTAAAGGGAGGAGATCTAAGAAAATACTACTATATATATTCAATTTTCAACTGTCTCTGGGGTTTCCTTTAGGAAAATTATATACATATTTACCTAATCGTATTAATTTATCTTCTATTATAAAAGGTTGGCCGAGAAGTTGCCCATCCCGGTGTGGCCAATGATTTTGGCGATGAAGATGCCAAGAAATACTACACTTACTACCAATGGGTTTGCTTTGTGCTCTTCTTTCAGGTGAGTTTTTCAAGACATTTTCTTTGGTGACTTGGACTATGGAATGTGAGTAGGGAAATTAGCTTATATCTTTCTATTTATTTTTCCCTTTCGAATATTAAAGACATCTTTTGTAATCTTCTGATTAATCTTTACGCTTTTGAAAAAGAAAAACGCCACCCAATTTTTTTGCTGAGTTATAAAGAAATGCTCTCGATTCTTCAACGCAATGACAATCGCTCCAATTAAGTTCAATTGAGAGCGTGGCATGTGCGGATATATATACACGTATAGGGAGATATAGGGGAGTGTTATGGTACAGTGAAAGAAATATTAGAGTCAGTTATAGTCTTTTTATGAAATGTTTAGGATTTTAAGTATGTTAAAGACGCTCTGCAAATCTAGGTTTAATTGAAACAAACTTATTTTCCCTCTTGTAAAAACTTGAAACGTTTTACAAAACCTTTCCCTTAACCCTTTTCTAAAACTGATCTTTTTTATTCGTGGGATGGGAATGATAATGTAAATGGGCATTGGGATTGGGACTGAGAATGGGACTGGTGTGATCTGGTTGGTGGGGCCGATGGGTCAACGTATTGCTCAAATGACGTACATATAAATATGTATATTTTCAAGTGAAACACTGCCGGGCACTTAGTGCTTGGACTTGTGAAATACCAAATATAATTAATGACTTGCTAAATAGCAAACACAACGGTGGCAATTACAACAACGAGACAACAATTGTGACAACACAAGATCAATACAAGAATGTGTCGATGTTTGCAGCGTTTGATTTCAAGAAAAGTGTTTTGTAAAAAAATGTAAATAACATTCCTGCACAGTAAGATATGGATGCATATATATAACCTGTGCATGTATTCCTGTAATCCCTGCATGTGCCTTATTCTTCATTTCAGGCAATGGCTTGCTATACGCCCAAGTTCCTGTGGAACAAATTCGAAGGCGGCCTGATGCGCATGATTGTGATGGGGCTGAACATTACGATTTGCACACGCGAGGAAAAGGAGGCCAAACGTGATGCCCTGCTCGATTATCTGATCAAGCACGTAAAGGTAGGAGTTCCTCTGTGCTTCCACATACCAAATAGATCTCTAATCCTTATGTTTTCCTTAGCGCCACAAGCTGTACGCCATCCGGTACTGGGCCTGTGAGGTGCTCTGCTGCGTGAACATCATTGTGCAGATGTATCTGATGAATCGCTTCTTTGACGGCGAGTTCCTTTCGTATGGCACCAACATAATGAAACTATCGGATGTGCCGCAGGAGCAGCGTGTCGATCCCATGGTCTACGTCTTCCCCAGGGTCACCAAGTGCACCTTCCACAAATATGGTGCTTCTGGATCCCTGCAGAAGCACGACTCCCTTTGCATCCTGCCGCTGAACATTGTCAACGAGAAGACATATGTGTTCATTTGGTTCTGGTTCTGGATTTTGCTTGTCCTGCTCATCGGACTGATGGTCTTCCGGTAAGATCTAACACTTCTCACTCTTATGCAGTTATTTATTATTTTATGTCTTTTCTTGCAGCGCCTGCATCATCTTCATGCCAAAATTCCGGCCCCGTCTGCTGAATGCCCGCAATCGCATGATTCCCATGGAGATTTGTCGCTCTCTGTCCCGGAAATTGGACATTGGCGACTGGTGGCTCATCTACATGCTGGGCCGCAATCTTGATCCAGTGATCTACAAGGATGTGATGAGCGAGTTTGCCAAGCAGGTGGAGCCCTCCAAGCATGACCGTGCCAAGTAATTGAGTCTCGCGGGATCCTCCGGATGACGAACCCCCGAATGATACCATACCCATGCCCATGCCCCAGAAAATCCACTGACATAGTTTTGACGTTACTTTTTGGACACCAGAGACACTCGACACCCGTCACACGACACCCCGGATATCCTTGTTTGGATTATTATTTTTATTTAGCACAAATCATACTACTTAGTTGAAACTCAAGCCCAGGACAGAGACGTGTCCCCTTCCCTCTTGGTAGTTCTGTGATTGACCTGATTCCTTGACTCACCTACCTTCCTAATCCCTCTCCCTGGCCCCTCCAGAAAAACTATCATAAACATGGATTAATCAATGATCACAACTCGAATCGCTGGCAGAAAATAACATACAAACAAACAAAAAAAGACAATCAAATCCAATATCTTTTTTTATTTTTATTTAATCTTTTTTGCTTTTCCATCACACACACACATATAAGGATGAGATTTTCCTTGTTTTTTTCTGCAAACAAAAAAAGAAAATAATTTTTTTTCCTAATTTTAAACTCTAATTTAATACCTAGATCTTATTTATAAATAGTTGCATCACTAAACGAGAAGGAGTTTTTCCCCAAACGAAAAAGAAACTAAAATACAGAAAGAAGATAATATTTTTGCATGAAATTGAGTAATGTTTGGAACGCTTCGGAGCGAATGCCGATAATGATATAATAATAATAAATATTGCTTTTGAGTCTTTCATAATAATAGAGTTTGTAGAGTTTTATCGGAAGCGTTTCGACAGACAGACGACGTATTTTTTTTGCGGGGAAAGAAACTGAAACAAAATGACAGACGAATACAATGCGCTATGTTAAGTTTATTGTGTAGTTTTAGGCGAAAATTGCAAAGGTTTTAAATATGCATATATATATTTGAGACTAAAATATAATATGAAATAAAAAACTTTTTACAACTGGCGAAAATAATTATTAAATTGTTGTTTTATTTTTGATCTTATTAAGATCAGTTTTAAATTAATTTTTAGTTTAACTTAATTGTTTATTGTTGTAATTGTTTAGTTGTTAATATTTAGTTATACTTATTTAAATATTGTGCCCAAAGGGCAGTGTGGTATAATCACACTTTTTTAAATTTTAATTGGGGAATTCCCCTCCAAACGTTGTTCACACTGAAGTCGCTCATGATAGTTTATTGGCGTTGCCAGACTACATGGACAATGACTCAGATAAAGTGTGGCCAGTTTGTTACAGAAGAAATCCTGTTCTTCTCCTCCACTTATTTCAGCATTATAAGCTGATTAACTGACGAGCACACTCGGCCATTAATAAAAATAATTCAGTGTTTATTTTTTATTTACACGCAATTTCGGAGCAACAGGATTTGCATTGCCACTGACTAGAGGACTAGAGAGGAGGAACGGAGAGGAAATCAAGTGTGGAAGCTGCATTAGTCATTGCCAGAGAGCTGACCTCAGCGGCTTGAGTTTCGTTTCCTGTGTGAAGTGGAATCGATATAGAGCGAGACAGTAGCCACCTCAGGATGGGCAACAAACAGATTAAACAGCACCTGGAGACGGCCCAGAAGACGGGTATCCTAAAGATATCGCTGCAGCGCCTACAGGAGTTCCCGCCACAGCTGAAGGCATATCCCAATGTACTGAAAACCCTGGATTTGTCCGAGAATCGTTTCGAACGTGTCCCAGACGAACTGGGCAAACTGACGCTGCTGAAGCATCTGAATTTGAGTGGCAACCGGCTGGCGGAGCTGAACGAGGTGGTCGGAGAGCTGGTCAAGCTGGAGGTGCTGCTGCTGATGGACAATCTGCTGACCAAGTTGCCCAAGACGCTGGCCAATTGCACGCACTTGAAGACGGTGAATCTGAGCAACAATCAGCTGAAGGAGTTCCCCAGCATGCTATGCGGCCTGAAGCAGCTGGATGTGCTGGATCTGTCACGCAACCGGATCACCGAGGTGCCCCCAGAGGTGGGTGGCCTCTATGTCACCGAGCTGAACCTCAACCAGAATCAAATATCGTCGCTGGCCGAGGATGTGGCCGAGTGTCGGAAGCTAAAGACCCTGCGATTGGAGGAGAATTGTCTGCAGGCAACGGCCTTTACGCCGCGAATCCTCAAGGATTCGAAGATTTGCAATCTAGCCGTCGATGGCAACCTGTTTAACTCGAAGCAGTTCACCGACCTCGATGGCTACGATGTATACATGGAACGCTACACGGCGGTGAGGAAGAAGATGTTCTAGGGTAACCTGGAAATCATCATCTTTGTCGAACAAGCAATTCCACCTAACGAGTACCATTTTTTCTCTACCTTTTTTTTTGCTTTCTCTGAGTGTCGTGTCTCCCTGCCCCTTTTATTTATGAGCGTAAAATAATATATTAGATAAATTGTATGTGTATGGTATGCCTTCAGTCTAAATCTGAATATTGTTATTAATTAATAATAAAATGATAAAAGACAAAGAGACCTGCTCTGACTTGACATTGACATGTTTCTACATGTCTCTGTTTCTACATTCTGCAGAATGTAAAGTCATTTTACATGTTTAAATGGTAAATTCTATAAGGTTTTTCTCTGTTATGTAAAAGTACAGAGGCCTGTAGGGTTTAAAAACAAGAATATAGTCTGTTAAAAATTATATTCAATTAATTATTTCAAACTTTTGATTAAATTTCAGAGTTTCTGCTATCATATATGCATATGTATAGTAGCATATATTATATATTTGTCGTAATTGTTTTATTGTTTCTCTGGTACAACCACTGTTGTTAGCATAAATGTTAGTTAACATTGTTTCATGTTGATTTCTAACTGTTTAAATGTAACTTTACAGAGCTCTGTTGTTGCTTTCCCAATTTGGCAACGCTGAGCAGCAAGAAATTTCAAATTTTAAGCGGCAAAAATTGTCTTCAATATGGAAATATTTTCCGAAAACCAAATTTTGTACGCTCAATTTGATTAGAGATCCTAGGACAGCCGCTTGATTGGCCCTACGCCACGCTCAATGTGTCGCATTTCCCACATTTTGATTGCCTTCCAGGCAACATCTTGCAGCATAAACCTTTTATTTTCTTGATCTTTATGAGTGTTTATGGTTATGATGGGCTTTTGTGGGGGTATTGCCGCCACTGCCAGTGACAGTTGGTATAATTTTTCGCCCTTTTGGGGTTTTTTGCTGTTTGCTGACCGTTTTATGGCTTCAACGGCTTGTTGCCTTTTTGAGTCTCGCCAACCTACCCCCATGGGCTGGTAGGGATGGTTATAGATGTAATGGATAGATGGATGGATGGATGACAAACTTGGGTCAGTTCTCGGCTCAACGTCTCGTGCACTCATTATCGCCCGTTTTATTTTCACGCATTGTTCGCAACAACAATGGTCGTCGTGGCTCAAACAACAAAGGGGAAGCCCCGAAAAAAAAGTGAGGAGTAAGAAGACGGTGGAGTGACGCTGAACTTGATGAGGCTGCGTGTCCGTCCCTTTTTGATTTTGCCATGGGAATGGTGGAGGAGCTCAGCCTTGCTCAATGTTTCGTCATTATGGGCCCTCGTAAACATTGATGACAGTCGAGGCTGCACTCTCTTCGGCCACGCCCCCGCAACGCCTCCTGATTGATTCCTGGTCCTGTGGCAGAGTTTTGTTCGGATTTAAAAGCGAGTCAGCGAGTCTGTGTGAAGATGCGGGCATGGGAAGGCAGACAACTTGCTTTCCACAGGCTCCACAAATAATAAAGTGGCTCATCGTGGGTCATTGTGGGTCACAAGAGGAGGAGGGACACCGCCTCGGACTTGGACCCGGACCCGCTCTTCCAGTCATCAGTCAGCGGTCCCGGCAATCGCCGTCATTAATCAAACTGGCAACAGTAAGCCTCCTTCCATCCCTCACTTTCATTCGCACAAAAGCTTCTCGCTTTCGCCCTCTTTATTGCATTTGTCACCACAACGCAGGGATGTACACGGAGAGAAATTTCATATACTACTTGAATGGGAGAAATTATGACCTTTATTAATATATGATATATATCATATATACATATGCAAAAGTTCATAGATCTCTCTTTCTTCCTTTTATGTTTTTACCAAGCTCAAAATGAACCCACTATATAAATTCAACTAAAAACAAATGTCTGTAAAAAGTGCCTCACAACTTCTGCCCATATTTTCTCTCAGTGTGAAAGGAGACGGTGGAGGAAGTCTCTCAGAATTGTGAGAAACCGCACACATTGTGCGATGGCCAGAACGGCAAATGGGCGGAGTGTGGCATTGGGGGTGGACATGGCCTGGACAAGGTCGGCGGTGGCAGTCACAACATAATTAGCAGCCTCACTTGGCTCCCATTCGCGTCCTGACAGGAGACAGGGCCACTGATTAACTGGCGGTGGCTTCTGGCCCGAATGCAGCTGCAAATGCAGCTACGATTAATCATAGTGGCCAAAACGGGGAAAGTGGAAGAGTGGGAAAGCGGGAAAAGCTGCAAAGGCAAGTGGCTTTTAGCTTGCTCGTGTTTTGGTAATCAAATTTCATGTTTGTTTGCACTTGATGTACGAGTACGAGGACGCCACATGGAGTAGGGCCAGTTTCGTGTCCTAGTCCCGGAACATTGTTGGCCATCATTCATGCTGCCAGGAACGGCAGGCGGAAGGGGGCAAGGGAGGGAAGCCCATCAATCAGCTGGACCAACTATTAGGCTAAATGGCCAGGACAGGGCGGCAATCCCTCTGCATAAATTTCAAAAATATACAAGTACATATGTATACATATATCCTCATCCTTATGGCAGATTAGCTGCAGTTTCCACAACAAAATTTTATTTAACTGAAAAGACTCCATTTTTCTAAGGATGCCTCAGAAATCCCTAATGGTTTTTGGGAATACAGAGTCAATGTGCCTCTCAAAAGGTCATTTTTTTAAAGTGCTTTTCGTTCCATTTTTCTTTAAGTTTTCAAAAATATCTAACCTTAAATAAATATATATCAATACCCTTAAAGGGAATGGGTAAATTTGTGAACATTTCCAACCCTATAAATCATACATAAATAATGGATATATATATTAAATTTGATGAAAATCTGTTGAAAACTGAAAACGTTTTTATTTTTTTCATAAAATTTTCCGATCGATATTTACATATCGTCCACCGATTCGCCATGCTCCGACTTATATACTATTGAAATTATATAGAAGAATAATTCCATAGTTTCATTCAAATAGCTTGCTCATAAATTCATTCCAAAACAAGTCTCGCACATCTGTACATATGATTCCCAATTTGTTCTAACATCCCCATAACGAAGTGACTGCTGCCGGCCAAGTCTCAGAAATGTGTTGGGTTACAAAAGTGGCAAGTCATTGTTTATTAGTGTTCAAATAAGTAACTGATTATACATATTTACTTGTTATAGATACTTACTGATCATAGTTACTTACTTGTCATAAATACTTACTGTTCAGAGTTACTTGCTGCTTATAGAAACTTACTGATCATAGTTACTTAATGTTCATAGATATTTATTGATCACAGTTAATTACTGATTATATTTCTATAAATCGTCCGATTGTTCCTATGCCAGCTATATATATCTATATATATAGTCCACCGATTCGCCATGCTCCGACTTACATTTTAGTAAAATTATATAGAAGAATACTTCCATAGTTTCATTCAAATAGCTTTCTCATAATTTCGATTCAAAACAAATCTCGCACATCTGTGCATATGATTCCCAACTTGTTTTAACATCCCCGGAACGAAGTGACTGCTGCCGGCCAAGTCTCAGAAATGTGTTGTGTTACAAAAGTTGCAAGTCATTGTTTATTAGTGTTCAAAGTTAGTCACTGATTATACATATTTACTTGTTATAGATACTTACTTGTCATAGAAACTTACTTGTCATAGATACTCAGTGCTGCCAACTTTTGACCAACAAAAAAAGCTGTTTTTGACGGGAGAAGTGAAAAAAAAAGCTTAAAAAATTTATAAAAAAAATCCAAAAAAAGGCTGAAACAAATCTATAAAAATAGAAAAAATGTCAAAAATATAACAATTTAATAAGTTCATTTTTGTTCAAAAGATTTCCATAATTTGATCAATTTCTTCATGGTCTTCCTTATTTTCGTAAGACCTAATAGTTCCTATAATCTGCAGATATTTGATTGGCACTGCATAGTCGACGCAGCATTTCCCGACCCTTCGCAATCTGTTTCTGTATATTAAAATAAAAATGAATATAAATAGAAATGAATATCTTTTGCTTGCACAAGTATGCTTCTTTGTTGCAGCGTGAGCTCGCAGATCACTAAGTTTAGCTGTAATAGTAGTCTTGCAATAGTTGCAATAAACCCTTTGCAGGTCTGTGTCATCCCTGCGAATCCATGCCTTAAATTCATCACTTTTAAGCCAGACATCGCGGCATTTTTGTTTATACTCCTTCGGCATTTTAGAACTTGCTAACAATTTACGCGCACTTTTTATATAGAGATGGAAACACTAAGCGAGTTATGACATTAGCGTATATCAATTAAACCAAACGATACGTCGCTACATTATCTGGTTTGTTTGTAAAGCTAATTTTTTAGCTGCCACTTTTTCATATTTTGTATTTAAGTTTTAACAACACAAAAAAAATCGGGAAAAAGCCAATTCAATTTCCAAAAAAGCCAGAATTCCCGCTTTTCACAATTCCCGCAATTCACAAATTTTTCCAGCAGTTAGCCTTTAAAAAAAGCCAGTTTTGACGGGAAAAAATCCAAATTGGCAGCACTGTAGATACTTACAGTTCAGAGTTACTTGCTGCTCATAGGAACTTACAGGTCATAGTTAATTACTGGTCATAGCTATTTACTGGTCATAGTTAATTATTGATTATATTTCTATAAATCGTCCGATTGTTCCTATGCCAGCTATATATATAGTCCACCGATTCGCCATGCTCCGACTTATATTTTAGTAAAATTATATAGAAGAATACTTCCATAGTTTCATTCAAATAGCTTTCTCATAATTTCGATTCAAAACAAATCTCGCACATCTGTGCATATGATTCCCAACTTGTTCAAACATCCCCGTAACGAAGTGACTGCTGCCGGCCAAGTCTCAGAAATGTGTTGTGTTACAAAAGTTGCAAGTCATTGTTTATTAGTGTTCAAATAAGTAACTGATTATACTTACGTACTGGTCATAAATACTTGCTGTTCATAGATACTTACTTCTCAAAGTTAACTAGTGATCATAGCTACTTACTCTTCATTGGTACTTACTTACATACAAATCTGCATATTAAAATTAATACAAATTATTTTACCTTGTTAAATCTATGATTAAAATATTTTTAGATCTGCTGTAGGAAAGTGGGTTTTAGGTACATAGCAAAAATACCTTTTAACTCCTAAAAATATTTAGAAATCTCCCATTGAATTTACCTCAAAACTAACTTCCCCATAAGTAGGTTCCTCTTGCTGAAGCTATCAAGAATCTCGGCAAAGAAAATTAATTTTCTAACTCGAGGAAAATGGTCGTGGATTTTACAACTTGAATAAAAGTGCAAGGCAGGCGAAAATCCCAAACCGTCAGCGTGGATTGTGTTGGCCATCCAAAATTCTGATTTACGTTTATGGCCCAAAAACCGGCAGCCAGCGTCAAAATAAAGCTGCAGCAATTAAAGTGATCGCTCATGTGGGAGTCGGAAAAGTCAGGAAAAGTCGGGGAAAAGTCTGAAAAAGCGAGTGCTGCTGCTGCGCTGAGAATGTGATGCGGACAACCGCGGGGGAGGCGGCGAAGGATAAAAGGAATTGCAAGTGCGCAATAGCTGGGACCGGGTCTGGGTGTCCTTGCAACAAAAACGAAGACGTAGTTGAGAGAGGGAAGTAGGACACAGGACGCAGGACATTGAAGGCTTCCGGCGTTTGTTCCCACAATAATAACAACAAGAGCATCTGGCTGACGTGCGTTCTCGGTTGCTGGAGCAGGAGCAGGAGCAGGGAATACAGGATGTGAGACACAGGACACGAAGTTGAGCAGTGCTGAAATTCCATTTAAATGTCCCTCAGTGGACAAATCAAAGATAACGAAGAAACAGCGCCGAAAAGTAAATTGAAAAGCGGAAAAGCGAAGGGAAATATCTAAACCAAGCTGAAGGACATCAGCTTAATAGAGTTTCCCGCTGAAGGCTGATAATTACGGAAGCGGAAATGCTGCTTATTCAGTTTTTTTTTCGAGTAAAGTTCAACCAATGCATGTATTTTTGGGAACTGCATAAATTGTGTCCTGCTTTTGGAAATCGGAAAACACAGGCAATTAAGTTTGGATCCATAAATCTAGGCCTTCTCGCTTCTGGGAAAAACATTATGCTAAGCATTTTTGATTAGCCACTCGAGCTGGGCACTTGTCCTAGATTTTTACGCAGACTCCTTGCCTTATGCTCCTCCTCCCTTGGTCATGTCAATCAATCTTTGACACGCCTGCTCCACTCTCCCATGTCTCTATGCCCATTCCCAAATGGGGGCCCTGAAATTAATTCACATTGTTATGCAGATTGGCATTGGGGCCATCGTTAAACATTTTGTTGGCTACAGCTGGCGATTAGGTTCTGGCTGAATGTCCATAATTTTCGTCACAATGCCAGTGGCAGTGGCAAGTGTGCGAACAATGGCTAACAACAGGGTTCTGTTTTTTTTTAAATCGTTTTACGAGCTTCCTTCGAACCTGAACTTGAGTCCCTGCAAAATCAGCAATATTTAGACATTAGCAAATATTCCTATAGCTCTCTTAAAAGTTCATATACGGTCAGGATATTTATGTCTCATATACAGAGCTCAAAATGTTAACTATTAGCAAGTGTTTAACACATTTGTATACCATATATAAGCAATACTATAAAATTCCTAGATCTTCATATCTTCTCTTTAGTTAATCGTGTTATTTAAGCATATCTATAGTTATAATATAAAATTCCTTAATCTTTGTACCTTCTTTTTAGTTAATTCTGGTCAAAATCTTGTTCAAAATGCACTCTTTTCCTCAGTGTGGCTATAGCTTTTCCCCCATTTGACAATGGGACTCGATAAAACACTTAGTATTTTATCGGAAAATAGCAGGAATGGGCTTGGACTCCTTCCAAAATGTGTCACTTGCTGCCGAGCATTGAATATGGCCTGAAGGGAAAAAAATTGTAAAGAATAGAGAGCTGGGAACTGCCGCCCAATTTGATTTGTGGCCCGCGGCGGCGACAAGGTCCTCTTGGCCGCTCCTTCTCGCTGTTGCAGTGGCAGTGGCAGTGGCATCGGCATCATAAATCGCTTGCACTTGAACCCAAGATGGCCAGACTTGGAATGGCTTCCGTTTATTGGCCCCATTGGCAAACGCGAATTGCTCACCCCTCTGGCCTCCTTCTGGCCATTTTGTTAACTGTGTTTATGGCCGCCGAAAAAGGCCCAAACGAAACTCGAACGACATCTGTGAAATGTGGTAGTGGCATGTCGCTGCTCTCCCAGCGGGGTAGCTCGATTCATTAAGCCTCGAAAGCAAATAGCTTTCTATTTTATGGCTCACCCATAAACACTTACCAGAAACATCTGTCCTGCAATTCAATCAAAACATATTGTATTGGAATTATTTCTTTGATGCTCAAGTTGATCCTTTAATAATCGTGCAAACAAAGTTTTTAGTTCAAGTTGAAGTCTAGTGCTTAGGTCCATAACAACGGGTGGCCTCATGCTCCAGCTCCTTGCCGGAAAGAAGATGGCACTGTGGTGGTTCCTTGGTTATCACCATCATTTCCACATTGTTCGAGGTCGGACGCTGGCAACCATTGACCACCTGCACGGTGTTTAGCATCACCTCCATGGCATGTGGCACGGTTATGTATGGCTTGTAGTGGCGCAGTAGCCATTTCTCGGCAGCTTCACCGGCCGAACCAATGCCCTTGCAAGTATGTTGGCCAAACTCGCCGGTTGGCTCCAGGTGCCACAGCTGCAGCTGGCCATTGTCGATGCCAGCGAATAGGAGAGCCACCCCGTATGGCCGGCTTGCGCTCAGGAGCATTCTATTATCATCATCGCTCTCCTCGTTACTGTCACTGGAGGAGGATTCCTCGGTTTCGCTTTCGCTGCAGCTACTGTTGTCGCTATCATCGGCCCCCATTCCAAAGGTTATGACGTGTTGGGAGATGGCCACCACTAGCGACTCGATGGGCATATACTCCTTGTAGTTGAATCGATGCTGGGCACACAACATGCGGGCCTTGTCGATCAGAGACCGAGCGTCCGACGACATGCCAGAAATGGCGCAGTAGAGATTAGTATCAAGTTTGATGATCTTGTCCAGGGCCCCGGCCACCAGCAGCGGCGATACAGGGCGTTTTTCAACGGCCAAAATAATGGCTACGATTCAATTAGATTATCCAATTTCCTGGAATTTTAACGACATAATACTCACCATCATCAATGCAGATCCCAAAGCTGGTGGCACCCAGCTTACTGGCCTCGCAGGCATACTGCATCTGCATGATGCAGCCCTCAGCAGAGAAGACGTTCAAATTCTTGCCACGAAACATATTTTTGCAGTATTCACAGATTTCTGATATTACTTTTCGAAAAATCTAAATGCAAATGCAAAGTGACACCTGGGGGGATTGTGCTTAAATAGGGCTTTAGAGTGACCAACACAGAGAAGAAAGGAAACGCGTTAGAGAAAGGGCAACTGCGAAGAGAATACAATTAGCACGCCGATAGATATATCAAGGATTTTGAGAGCTAAAAGTTCGTAAAGGTCTCAAGGAAAATACAATTATTTTTAACAACAATTTTTCCCGCTGTGGAAAACAAGGATCTGGATGCCGCCGCCACCATTTCTGCACCCTTCCTTGTATCTGACGCCGATGACGTCGCCGCGTCCATGCTCCGCTTCATTTTCTGCGTCCGTTCGCTGGTCAGTTTTTGTTATGGCTATGGCTTTGACGTTGGCGTTGACGTTGTGCCCTAACGCCGCAACTGCAGTTCCACGGGACGTGTCGTTCGTTCTGTTCTTTTCACGTTTTCCACGCTTTTCAGCGTTTTTCGTCTTTCTCCGGGGCTGCCACACGGGGATGGTCACACTAGCAACCAAAAAGTTTCTCGGCCGTATACCGTTAGCTTTCTCTCGAAAACAGATCGATAGCACAAGCATCGATAACTTATACGCGATATATGGCGATGTTTCCTTAAAACATTCAATGTAAAAATGTGAAAAATTGTTATAAAAAATATGCAACGGCTCGGGAAATGCTTTGTTTGCGAGTCTGTAGGTTGTATATATAAATATTTGAATATATTTGAAACAATTTCCTCCACTTTCTTTAATTATATTAATATGTTTCATCATTTTAATTTCAAGATTTTCGAATCGATCGAATTTATTTACTATAAAAAGAAAGAAAACTAACTTTGGCATGCCCTTGTACTATCCATCTTGCATCATGAAAGCTTTCCTGTGTTAGTTTTTATTAGGTTAATTAAGCTGCATACTCAATTCGAAAAAAAATATATATATTACAAAATTTTTTAATTTTTCAAAATTTTAACGATGTAACCCCTAATAAAAATTTGCAAATTTCCCGAAAGCCGTATGAATGGACATCCCAGCCCCATAAGACCGCCCGTACATCGCATAAACAGTATTCTCGATTTGGAGAATCTTCGTATGGAGACGCGAGCATTACCTCTCTTTGCTGCGCAATATTTACCACGACCAATCCTCGATTCGTGCTATAAACAAATCGAAGCCGCCGCCGCTGCAGCTGCTGCACAAATCCGCCGACCGTTACATCACCTGGGGTTCCATCTTGACCAACAATAAGCCAGCTCCATCGCTGGCTGGCTGCCTCCACAATATCCAACTCAGAGAGCACATCGAGTTCCTCTAATAGCTCAACTGCTTCCGATGTAGTCCTGGCCAATAATGTTAGTTCCTATGTACAGGCTCCTGCTCCCCGGACCAGCCACACGTAAGTGATTCACATGAATCCTATGATCAGAATTAATTAAATATCTCCTTTAATGCACTCCGCAGTATTGCTTTCCCTTCGAGGACTTCGGACAATGATATTTCAACAATGTACAAGCTTGAGATGGAGAACCGCAAAGCGAACTGCGTTTACCTTAGGGACAATTACGCCGATGAGTTTATGGAAAGAAGTGACAAAAGGCGCAAGGAGTTAGCATGCCATCGCGAACTGGTCGAATTGCAGTAAGTATCTCGTGAATCTTTCATGTCAACTGAATCCACTTACCGTTTGTGTCCTAAATTTTAGAGTTGAAAAGACGTAGAAGACGTGCCGTGACTATGAGCAAAGCCTACGCTCGAGGTTGTTCCAGTTTCGTACTGCTCACACACCGTCTTGGTTGTCGAGCCAATCCAGTACGAAGACGAAATCAAAGAAGAGAAGGAGCCTAAGTTTATTCCGTTCACCGACGAGCATATGACCCAATTAAACAATTTGATTAATGGTAATCCTCATCAGGTGAGTTCTCTACTTTGTCACTTGCTGAAGTTGACCGCTCACCTGCTCTTTTCCGCCTCTCCCCTATTTAGGTGGTCAGTTCCAAGTTTAATCTGCAAACCTGCAGCAGCTGGCTTAACGATGAGGTCATCAACTTCTATATGAACCTTCTGACCGAGCGCTCAGAGAAACGCTCTGGCGAGCTGCCCAGCGTATACCCAGCGTATGAATACATTCTTTGTGCCGCGCCTGCTGCAGAACGGACACGCCGGTGTGAAGCGCTGGACGCGCAAAGTAGATATATTCAGCAAGGACATTATACCGGTGCCAGTGCACTGCAAGACTATTCGCTACTGCGACTCGATGGGAAAGCCCAACCAGGACGTGCTGGACGCACTGGAGTCGTACCTGCAACAGGAGTCACTTGACAAACGTAAGCAGCCCTTCGATACAAGTGACTTCAAGATCGAGAGCGTGCCGAATGTGCCGCAACAGACCAATGGCAGCGACTGCGGCGTCTTCAGCTGCATGTTCGCCGAGTACATATCGCCCGACGCACCGATAACCTTCTCCCAGGAGAACATGGACTACTTCCGCAAGAAGATGATTCTCGAGATTTCCGACGGCAAGCTGTGGAACTAAACGCCACCATACACCGGGAACCTAATTTAAGTTTAAACACAAACACACAAACTAAAACAAAGGCCAGAGAAGTAATATTTATTCCGGGGCTCGTGGCGGTGCCTGAATGATGCATTAGCCAAGGCTAAAATAAATAAATAAACAAATATAGCCATATGTATACAATTTTATATATTTATTGTTATTTTCAAACTTACATATATGTTTATTTTAGTTGGGTGTATTTTCTCCAATTGAATCTCCCTTTCTCCAGCTATATAATTTTAATTTTGTAAATTTCAAAAAATTTTATCATTGATTATAGTTTATAGGGTCGGAAACGACTCCTTCACTGGTTTTTATGCAAAAATCCGAATAAAAATTTGCAAATTTCAAAAAATTTCATTATTGAAATCGATTCGGCTTTTAATGCTGATAAAAAATATATATAGTTTGTAGGGTCGGAAACGACTCCTTCACTATGTTTTATGCAAATTTGCAAATTTAAAAAAAAAATTTTATTGTTGAAATCGATCCGGCTTTTAATGCTGATCAAAAATATATATAGTTTGTAGGGTCGGAAACGACTCCTTCACTATGTTTTATGCAAATTTGCAAATTTCAAAAAAAAATTGTATTGTTGAAATCGATCCGGCTTTTAATGCTGATCAAGAATATATATAGTTTGTAGGGTCGGAAACGACTCCTTCACTGGTTTTTATGCAAAAACATAATTCTGTCGGTTGGCTGAATTTTCAAGCCGTTCGGCCGCCGGTCCCTTCTGAAATACCAGGCGAACAGAAGGCAGTAGATCGACGATTTGTGGATTGTACAATCCAGATACGATCCACATATGATCCACACGCGATCCACATACGATCCACATACGACCCACTTACGATCCACATGCGATCCACATACGATCCACTTACGATCCACATACCATCCACATACGATCCACTCACAATCCAATACAATCCAATCGTTGGTCTGCTGCTTTCTGTTCGCCTGGTATTTCAGAAGGGACCAGCGGCCGAACGGCTTGAAAATTCAGCCAACCGACAGAATTATGTTTTTGCATAAAAACCAGTGAAGGAGTCGTTTCCGACCCTATAAACTATATATATTCTTGATCAGCATTAAAAGCCGGATCGATTTCAACAATAAAATTTTTTTTGAAATTTGCAAATTTGCATAAAACATAGTGAAGGAGTCGTTTCCGACCCTACAAACTATATATATTCTTGATCAGCATTAAAAGCCGGATCGATTTCAATAATAAAATTTTTTTGAAATTTTCAAATTGTGATCTTGCGAGCTGACGTTTTAGAATTTTGTTTTGTTTTTGGTAGTGTGACAGCCCTATTTTAATGATAATGATGGGGAAATCAACATCGGCACCGTAAGGTTAGCTTTCCTGATTATACTTTTCGCTGATCTTGTATTTTGAGTAACTTACCCGATAGTTGATCTATTTAAACCAAAACTGAGCTAGATAAAGCCTTCCGAAAATAAAAAACAAAAATGTTTTTCGTCTCAAATATAATTCCATATTTTTATTGAATTCATCAAAATGTATATAATTGTTGTTTTTTTATCCATATATATAATGTATATGTATATCTTTTATGTATATATAGTATAGCTTTTGATATAGTACACAAGTACAATATATAATTGGTTTGCTCAGGCCTTGTAAATATTGTAAACATGTTAATTAAACATTCATATTCAACAATTGTTTGTAACAGTACCGCCGAGAGTAGGGCCTGGTATAAATACATATGTATGTATATATTCGTATTCGAGCTGTGAGAAGAAACTGTCCGACTAGAGAGATGTGTGAGAGATAACATTAGTTATGTTAGTTAGTACTGGCATATAGTTTACATTGATCCACGTATTTTGCACTAGACTTTTGCTTTGACTGTGGTAAAGATCTCCTATTTGTATATCTTAAGCCTAAAGTACGGTTCTTAGCTTTGGTTAGTTTACATTTATTTCGATCTGGATGGGATTCTTTGTTTCGGTTTTGCGGGTCCCTTTTGCGAAGGGACCCAAGGAATTTAAAGCTTTCGTTAGTTAGTTGTTCTTTGGTTTTCTTTCCATCCTCTTGCATTCGAACACCTCCTCAGTTTTTGCTCAGTTTTCTCAGTTTACCATTTTTGTTGGTCGAAATTTCTTACGAGTTAGTTAACAATTGGTTTTTAAAAGAGACAGAGATAGGGGATCGGCTCTAAAGTAAAAGGGTCACAATTTCGGGGACATTTTGGTCGAGCTTTTTTTTTGAGCTTTGGGCTTACGAACTAAAGCCGGATATACAAATATATATGTACTTAATTATTTGACATTTCTGTGTTTCTTAACAATTTGCTCTGGCATCCAATATTTGTGTAGTTGTAGTTGTAAAAGTCGAAAAAACACGCTAAGTTAGAGTTGGGGAAAAAGTTGTAGCTAAGGTTAAGGTTAACATTGGTTAGGATAGGGCTAATAATACAATCTACAATCAATAACTTTAGATATACTACTCGGCCGATAATACTTCACTGCCGATAACTGTCTGACCCCCAAGCTGACTATGCTAGGCGTGATCTTTTCCTGGCTCTGTGTGTGTGTTTGGTGCCATAGCACTCAGCCGGTCCCAAAATGATATCCGAAATTGACGCAAATTGACTCTGTGCCAGCACAGAAAGAACTATATGATACGGCAAAGGTCGAGAGGGTGATACAGATATTACTATAGTTGCAAATATTGGACAGTGCGTATATGCACAAAAAAATATTAATCTCATGTTTAACTCATTTTCTTCTGGCATAAGAAACCACTTAAATATTTTCATAAAATCAATAAACAAACTTATTGTAGCGTTATGATTTTCATACTTAATATAAATAACAAAATTCCTTGTATTTCATTCGAAGCCTTAATGTTCCTAAAATATCTTGGGAGATTTTGGAAAATGCCAAAAGCGAGCTGTTGGCTTTTTGCAGATTCCTTTAGCTTGTTTCTTTTTTTCCAAAACTCCTTGATATTTCAGAAACTTTAATATACGAATCCTGAATTTCAGAATCTCCGTTCCTTTTTGTTTTTCAACTTATTTTACAACTTATATTAGTTATAAAGTACTTGTTTCCCACCAGAAGAAAATGAGTGACACACACTCCCCGCGACTTTTGACTTTACACTTTTGACTGACTCCTCCTCCTTGGCACCCTCTTAAGATTAACATTTTGATCCTAGCCTACACCTGTTCGGCACTCTCGTCCAGCACCATCGAGTGCAGGTCCATCGCCGAGCGGGTCTTCCTGGGGGGCCGTGGCATCAGGTAATGACTGGTGCTGGCCCCCACAAATACAGAATTCTGGCGTGGACGCGACACCTGGGACACGTGAGAGGCGTAGCCTGGAAAGAAATAATACAAAAAAATATATATTATATGTTACATATATATAAAATGCATTATAAAAGCTAGTAGGAGAATTCAATTCCTAATTAATTCAATTACTTTCACCTCCTGCAAACAGTAGCTGTCTCTAGTAAATGGACACGACTTGTATTCTAACTTAGTTCTGTTCAGACATTCAATACAAAAAGGTTTTTAAAATGTACGTTAGCATCGATAGGGATTGGGGAACCCCCTCAAGTGGCCCGACACTGTCCTGACTCAACTTAATAGACTTTCCGCTGTCTACAGCTTTTATCCCTCTCCATGGAACATATCCATCTCCATCTCCTTGAACTGTATGCCTTTTCTCGTGCATGTTTTATGCGAGAATTGCTGTCCTTCCTGTCCGTGTGGTCCATGCGTTCGCCATGAGATTTAATTGCGCAGAGTGAGAGGGAAATCCAGGGGAAGCCCCCATTCTCATCTCCATGCTCATCCTTTGCCATCCGGCAGTGGCATTAAAATTGTATTGTTATTTGCTTCGCTTGCGCTCTGGTGCCTCTGCTCGGCGGGCAACGTAATTGTCTGGCAACTCATTAAAAACAAAAAAGAAAGGAGAGAAGCTGCCGGGAGAGACGACAGGAAAACAGGGAAAGTGACTACAACTAAATGCTGTATTTACCAGCAAATGGGGGAGGTCGTGGGGCATTAACAAACGCTTCAACTAGCGCACATTACGCATAAGTATTTCTCATTCGATTCTCATTCGACGGGTTGGTGTGGCGGAGGAAATCCCCTACAGCTGCCAGGGATCGGTTCGGATGAGCCGTGGGCCCAGATACAAGCATATGTTGGATAGTTCATTAAGCTCTAATGGCAGTGTCGCTAGTGGCCCTAAAGAGCATAGTTTTACAAGAACTATAACTAATGGATATGTGTGTTTTTTATATATTTTTCGTAGTTTTTATAAACATATAACCATGCTCATTGTTTTTCTTAAACTGAATTGAATTTGCTACAGAAAATGCTCTGAATATTAGGTATAAATTAGTGAAGGAATCATTTCTTTGTTCCTTTACAATATGTCCTACCCTTTTCTCCTACACCGAACCACTGTGCCGCTCTGGGCGACGCACAAAATTATGCAGTACAAGCGGCGGATACTTTGAGCTCGATGGATGTTCGATTTTAATTGCATTCAGGGGAGGCAGCTTGGTACTTGGGGCATGGGGCATGGGGCATGGGACATGGTTGGATGGAAAAAGTGGGGGGAAAAAAACGTGGAAAAAGTGTGGAAAGCGTAAGGGTGTAGTGGGCGGAATGGTGGGTGCAGAGATGAAAGGACAGACAGAGGACGTCGTACATACCCTTGGCATAAATGTTGGGATTATAGGCCGCAAATTGACACGTCGGCATATTGAGATTGTGCACCATGCCCATCGACATACGCGACACGGAGGAGCGCTGCAAGAACACATCAATATTACAATATTATTCAGTATGCAGAATGTCGTAGTGAAAAATTAATTGGTAGCCTACCTGATGCGTCTGCACGGCATCCAAGTCGACCAGCGGACAGGAGCTGCGGTGCTGCTGCTGAAACTTGGGCTGATACGGTTCCAGCATCCGGATCTTGCCCCAGCGATTGAAGAAGAGCATGATGGCTCCCACCCAAAGGACAAGGACGAGGCCGACAATCAGGACCTCCTCGGTGCGCACGATGATCTTGGGTCCTGCAAAGACATACACATGGAATGCAATTTGTTTATTTTCGTTTCGCGACTTAAGCCAGCTCTTCTTTCCTTCTTCCTTCCTTCCTTTCTCATAAACAAAATGGATTTGCCGGGACTGTAAACTTGGTCGCACGTACCGCACATAAATCAGGCTCGAATTCAATTATCGTCGGCGGCGAAATCTTCGCGATAAACAATTGTGCGATTGGGAAAATGGAAAAGTAAAGGATATGTGGATATGGTTAAGAAGGGGATTTCGATTACTCGTGTTGGGATTTGGGATTTATTAAGCAACCGAATCGGCGACTTTAGTCAGCCAAATCCCAGTCAGCTAAATCCAGACAGGGATTTCAATCCAGCTTCGTCCAGGTGTGGAAATTGCGCGAGTTCGGCTTCGATTTGAGTCACGAAAATTCAATATTTGCTTCGAGAGAAACAAGGGAAAAACTGAGCTCAAAATCCAGGGGAAAATCAGACCGCGAATGGAAACACCCCCTAATCTGTGCTTACATTAAATGGGATATTACCGAATTAGGCAAAAATTATTTAAATAAATGCAATTTTCCACAGCTTAAAGGGGATTGGAATTTTCAAGGGGAAACACATTCTGTTTAATTTCAAATCTATCCATGTTTAAAAACAGCAAATTAAATACTTTTTTTGGCCAACCAATACAAGTTAGTTCACAGTTTTGCCTGCCACAACTTTTTAGTCAGCAAAAACAAAGTGAAAACTTGTTGCCACACTCAACACATGCTTTATAAATTTATATTGTTTGAAATCAGACAATATAGAAATATATGGTATGTTAGATGGATGAATCCACTTACCCGTCTCCACGGCAGTGCTATTCGACGCTCCTGTGGTGGCGCCTGTGGTGAAACCCTCATCCGCCTCCTGGCTGCTCAGCTCCCCAATGTAGTCCTCGCTGCCATTGGAGGATGCCGAGGATGAGGATGGCGGCGACATTGGAGCAGTTTGCTCCACCTCCACCAGGAAGTTGGGGCCTCGCCAGCCAGAGCCCCATTCTGTAGGGAGAATTTCAGGTTTATTCCTCGACGATTAAAACCAGAAATGGGGAATAACTCACCTTCCGAGAGACTGGTCGCTGGGGTTACCTCCTCATCGGCAAAGACCTCTAGCCTTACAACTGGAAATAGGTTGAGATAGATAAATTAAGATTACAAAATGATTTAAACCCTAAATTAAAGGAATCTAATTCACTCGTTCCCTGCTTCACAAGTAAAACAATTTTCTAAAAGACCATTTCGCTGTTCCCCAATTTAGAACTTCTCAAGTGGCTTAAGGCCAAGCTAAGAATATATATCCCACACAAGGACACTTGAAAACTTGGCTCTTGCCGAATAAATAAAATGCAATAAACACACTCGGTGCACAGATTTTGATGGCCAAGAAGGAATTATGCCAAGTTTGCACTTGAAAATTTTCGTCTATTATGCAATCGTGCAGCACTTAAAGGATCATATATGGCCATGCTTATACCCAGATGATTGCCATCTAGGAGAGGGACTCCCCCTGCTGTTATCCTTGCATATGGGTGTGTGTTCATGTGTGTGTGAGTGTGTGGAGTGTCAAGGATGAAGTTTTCCAGACGCTGCTGACGTCGTTGGAAGTTTGTCTAAAGTGCTGCGAATGCACTTTTCCCACTTCCAACTTATGCAAATGGGTTTGCCATCGTCACACCTCCCTCCCACACCTCATGCCTTGGTCCTGTGTGGTGTGAAAGGATCTAAACATACACACACACACTCTTCCCCCCCAAGACGAGGCAACTTTCCATAGTTATTTAGTGCATTAAAAGTTTGCTGAGCGAAGGTAGGCCTTGGGGGTGTGCGTGTATATGCTGGCGTTTTCGATGATGTATGGCCCCCAAACAGGGACGAAGCCACAGGACCAAAGAACCACATGAGATGGGCTCACCAGAAAACCCAACAAAAAAGAAATAAACCGACCCATAACCACAGCAGCCAAGGAGACTAAGCCTAAGCGAGCAGGTGGGACCCAGGATCAGGACCCGAAACCCTTCTCAAAGTGCTGGCACTGTACAAAATATCTATCTATATTAAAGTGGAAGATAATATCCAACGCCTTAACGGGGAGGCAAAATAAATCGTTCACCATTAAAATGTATAATACATTTTAATAAACAATAAATAAAGAACTCAATAAAGAGTCAAAATTTATTGATATTTTTCTACATTTTAAACAATAAATAAAGAACTCAATACAGAGTCAATATTTATTGATATTTTTCTATGTTGTTGACTAATCAAAGTTTAAACCACTCATAACTAAGCTAAAAATGCATAAATTTTAATTTGGAAACCTGTTCTATGCTAGGTTTTATTAGGGTAATAAATCTGCAGAATCAATATAAAATTAAAATTTTTGGCAATTTTTGAAAATTTTAACGATGTAACCCCTTATCTTTTTTTGAAAATATGGAAAAATTTTGTTTTCCTCCCGATATGTCTAAAAAGATTCGCCTATTAATGCTGATCAAAAATACATATGATTTATAGAGTCGGAAATGACTCTAACTAAAATTATAAAACCATTGCAAGGGTATAAAAATATAAATAGAATTTTATGAAAATTTCCTTTTTGAACAGTGCAAAAACCGAAACTCTTAAGCATAGAAGGGGTCATAAAGACAGCCAGTTAGGAAAATGACCTTGAAAGCGTTTAGCATCTCCCCCAAAAAACACACGCACACAGACACAGCCCCCCAGATCCTTGGCAGCCATGAACTATTTATTTAGTTGCTTCATTTGCCTAATTTGCTTAATTACATGTGTTCGACGATGGGCTCAAATCTATGCCCGAAATTAGCTAATTAACATGCGCAAATTATACGCAATTCCCACAGGGATAAGTACAAAGGATCGCATCCCATAAAAGGATGTGTGTGTGTGTACGGGAATTGAGGGGAATTCCGGTGAAGAGTGCGGCGAAAAAAAATAGAAAAACAACCTTACTTGTATCTGGCGAATTTCCCCGTAATTTATGAATGAAAAGCCGCAAAAAAAAGGAAGAGAGAAATATACGAGACACGGTAATGAACTGGGAAAAGTGTAATAAAAACGAAATTAGAGGGTGAGAGTGTGAGCGGGTTAGAGAGGGCCCAAAAGGGTAAAGTGCAAAACCGGAAGGACCTCTCATTCTTGCTTGATTTTCACCAATTTTCCCATTGCTATCCCTCGCTCTGTAGAGAGTGTGTGTGTGTGTGTGTGTCACCTGGTTGGAATTTGCCATTAAATGCTCATTAGAGTAAACAAACAACCCACACAACAGCGACGGAATGCAATTTTAATAATCAGTAGCCCTCAGACAAAGACCTGACAGGGCAGGACCTAGGACACTAGGACGCAGGACGCTGGAGGAAGTCCGGCAATTAAGAAAAACATTTTACGCAATTTGTGACTCATCAGCAGCAGCGGAGGTTTTGTGGGGTTAAGGAGATGAGACATGGCAATGGTTTTTTGGGTTTAATATAATGAGCAGAGTCTGGAGATATTGCAGATGCTTAATTAATGGAAAACTCTACAGAAACACACCAGAGGGGAACAAATAATTAAAAATGCTGATATGCAGCCTATATTATGATGTATGTTTTATACGAAGATAAACCATAAACCATATAAAGGGAATATATAGACGTCGGCTTTCCCAAAATTAGTTTCCTTTCTCGTATTTTATTTGTTTCATTTAAGCCACATCAATAGCCGGTGGACTTTGTTAAGATGCAAAAAAAAAAGCAAAGGCACAAAGTTTTGCCAAACAAAGTACAAAAAATGGAGACCGGATTACAGATGTAAATAAACATTACAAGGAGCAACCAAAAAAAAAAAGAACTCCATAAGCCGTTCAATAATTCATAAGAACGCACTCACACAGAGATAGGCAGGACACAATGGTACACTGAAAGAAACGAAGGAGACTAGGAATGGGAACAAAAACTGGGGACAGTCATAACACAAACACAATTATCAGTGGGGAAACTCTATTGATTTTCTACGATTACAAACGGCGTCGTTGTCGGCGGGCCAAGATGTCTGCCTCACGTTGTAGATTTCCCGGGAATCCAAACTCAAATGGGGGAAGGCAGGGGCAGAGGCAGGTGTACTCAAAGCCGCTTATTTGCCATAAGTATGTATGTTTATAAATATATATGTATATGTAGAAAACAGAATTCAAGTCAATTCAATGTGACGCATGCAAAGGCTTCAAACGAGCCCTGAGAATGCCAAGCACAACAAAGGCAGAATGACTTAGGGAATTCAAGAAGTATTAGGTACCGGGATACCCTGGAAAGTTGGTTGAAACAAGGCAATACTTCAAGTATATCCTTTATAAGATGCTTAGGGTTAAACTTGATTGTGAAGGGAATTTTATAAAGAAAGCTATGTTAAGAAAGATCAGAAAGTAGTGGAATATAATAATAAGAATTACAATTCCTAGATTCGTTAATTCCCTCATTACCTTAGTATATATTATTACCAAATTTTCTCAAAATCTGATTCATAATTAATAGCTAATATTCCCCATTCTATCCTTTGAATACCCTACAACAAGTCCTAGAAATTCCACGTTCCTTAGTGGACAAAAAAGTGTTGCATACCCCAAAGGCGTGCAGTGAGATAAGGAAATAATGCTTAGGCCAACTTTAAGGGAAAGTGGACAGGGCTCTGGGGGGGGCAGTGCACTTAGTGCCACTAACAAAATCACTTTAAAGCTGGCAAAAAATAAAACAGAAGGAAACCAGCGATGGGCACGTAAAGTGGCCCTCGTAAAACGGGGAAGGAGCCACTCTCTCACTAAGAGGGGGGGGGGGGGGGGCGGTTAAATGCTGAACGCTTAATTGTGGCTCAAAGAGATATTTCAGCATTTAAGCACAACTGTACTCGAGTGATACTTGGCTGGAGAGTCCTTAAGGCTTTTCCATTAAATAGCAGAAAAATAAGCAGAGATTCCTTCTCGGAACTAAGCTATTTTATATGCATTCCCTTATCAATTACAATATATTTTGCAATATACTAGAAGACTGTACTTTCTTCCAGTCATTAATCCCTGCCAAGTCACCTTCACTTCCAACATGCAGTCACTTTCCCGTGGTCAAGTGGACCATCTCGGTCAAGGACACCCGTGCACCTGGTCCTGTTCTCGGGCAAATCCCGTCCTGCACTGCCCTGCCCTGCCCTGCATCTGGGATCCAGCTGTGATGGCATCAGGTGGCTAAGAAGATGGCATAATGTGGAAATTAGAGCCTAAGTAGCCTCGCCCACGATTCAATTCGATTCGAACACGTGTGGATCCAGTTTTTCCCCCGGCTCAACGTCTAAGAATTTCCCGCAAGGATGCGGAAATACCATGGGCATTTCCGAGCGCCCAGCGCGATGTTCTCTGGTCTCTGCGATTTATGTTTGACTTGACCCTGTCCCGGGATCAACAAGTGCGTCCAGCAGGGTGACCATCATCATCATCATTGCCGGGAGAGGACATCTCCGTTATAATGTTGATATGCAGCAACCTACCTACCTATATTTGGATATCTATATCTACCTGATACCTGCCAGGATCTGGGCCTTAGCACGCGGTTCGGTTTATGGCTTTATGGCCATGGCCAAGGAGTTGCCGCCGACGATACACGGAAAATGTGTTTCGTAAACAAAATTCCGCGGTCTCAATGTCCTTTGCCCTGTCCCCTGTCCTGCCCACCATTCGTATTTTTGCGTATTTTCATTGCCATTTCCCAAACATTTTCAGTCCCGCCCGTTCATGTTTTTTGTGTATGTCCTTTGGTGTGTTTTTTTGTGTGTTATAAAACACAAAACACAGAAAGTAAACAAAAATATATGGATAGACGAAAACAGAACAGAGAAGCTGCTGCATTGATGCTCCTGATCACAGATGTCCTGGGTCCTGGAATCGGTCATGTCCCTGCCATTGTTCCGAGACCTCCTTTTTCGGTCTCAGCCCAGCTGGTCAGCTCAATAAAAAAATATCCTAGCCGGAATCCAGGACAATTGCTTGGCTTGCACTTGTGCCAAAAAATTGCATTCAACAAACGGAGTTCAGTACACGGCAACAAAAAACTAGCGCGAAGGTCTTTTTGAGGGATTAATATTTTTAAAATATAAAGAGCAGTTAATATGGTTTAAATATTGCACATTAATTTGCTGTAGAAAATACTACATAATCCCAGCTTTAACTTAAATTTTTTTCTCTAGTTTTCTTCCCTGTAGTTTTTTGTTTTAGTTTCCATTTCCATTGCACCGATTTGGGGTCCCGGGCACGTCTTTGGCTTTTAGTTTTCCTTCTTTTTATTCTGGATTTTCCCTGACTGGGATCTTGGACTTAGTCCCCCTATATCTCTCCCTCTCTTGGAGTGTGTCTTTGTGTCAATGGCATTTCAATTTCGTAGCCATTTCCCTGGGGGCTTCGTGCGGAATCCCCTGCATTCAGCCAGCTAGCATTTAATGTCCAGACAGATATAGAGACAGGGACAGAGAAAGAGGGAGAGCTTCTCGAATGGATTCTGGCCGAGATTCCTGCCACAATGTTGTGAGTTCAAATTGATGGTGCAGTGGCTCACTTTGAAGTAAATGCAGTTCGGATACTGCATACGCAATGAAGGTCATCCTACAGCTTTTTACGATTCCCAATAAATTTCTTAAATAACTTAAGAAATATGGGGGAAACCAATTGAAACCTGCTAGAATTAATTTACTTATAATTAGGTGAATGGGTAGTCAAGGTAACTCAAGAGAGTAACATTGACAGAATACCCTAACCTCTCTAAAATCAAGACTCTAATTAATGCTGCTTTAATAGTACAGGCTTCCCATAGATTAAAGTTGACCATTTTGATGTAACATTTCTTTTGAGAGTGTTTGTTTAGACATTTTAACTTTTTATAAAGAAAGTGTTTGTTTAGACAGACAAAACTTGCCATGACTTTTCCTTGTCCGGCTTGCAGTAGGCTTTGCATTAATTTGTTTTCTTTTGAGAACTAGTTTTCCATTCTGTTGTTAGTTCGTGCTAGTCCAGAAAATCTGTAAAATCTTTCTAAAAGCATTTACTAAGTGAATTTCTTGTTCAACAAAATGGGAAAAATGAAGAATCAACCTAAAATGGTGAGTTTAGCTAAGAAAATCCCCGCAGGAAAAGTTCTAGAAGCTGTTTTATTTTCTTTGGCTTCCTAGACATCTTCTTATCCGTTCCCAACTCATCATGTACAACCGGAAGTGATCTCCCAGCCGGAAGTGAAACCAAAGCCAGGCATGGGTGGCATATACACCAACCAGATGCACTACTTCAAAAAGTATCTGCTGGATGAGCTGCCCAAGAAGCAGTTCGCCACACATTTCATGAAGCCAGTGGACATCGATGAGTTGCAGGTCCCCAATTATTACAGCATCATCCATCGTCCCATGGACGTGGGCACCATCACCAGGCGCATAGAGAATAGATATTATCGCGACGTGGAGGAGGCCATCAATGATTTTCGTTTGCTGATCAGTAACTGCTATCAGTACAATGGACCTGACAGTCTGGTCTATCGCAAGGGTATCCAGCTGGAGAGGTTTTTTATACGAACTTGCGAGAAGATACCCAAGGGGCCGCCAGTGCCGTGCAACAAGGATCCCAGGTTCACCAGCAGGGTGAGGACCAATACCATGACCGAGCCCATGGAGAAAGAGTGTCGCGATCTAATCCAGAGGCTGGAGACCTTCACCAACCAGGCGGATACCATCGCCCGCAACTACTTTGCCCCCAAGTGGGTATCGCTCTCCAAGAAGCTGGATAAGAAGTATTTCAAGACAGACGCGGATTTTCGCTCCCATGTGAATGACTTCTTCAAGAAGTACCTCGAACCGGCCAAGATGATCTATCAGAAGGTCTACAATCAGCTGGAAGGCAAGCAAAATGATAATGGCTCTTCCACCTCTGCCACCGCCTTCCTGGAGGCCATCAAAATGGAGCCTATCCAGACACAAGCTAATGCCGAAAACTCGGAAAATGACGGAGAAAATCCCACCGACATTAAGGAAGAGATTTCTGATAATCCCCTTCCTTTCCATTAATAATTTTAACTTAAGATTGATGCGGGCTAGTGGGAGGAGATGAGGAGAGGCAACGCAGTGTACCAGAACATCATTAAGCAGCCGTTTCATCTATGAGCACTTTTTGTATAATTGCCCTCGGAATGTGGCATAAGAAAATTAAATAAAGATGAAACCTAGCATGCAATTGTAGGGAAGACCAGAGAATGGGAGTTACTTGAGCAAATAGCTACAAAGTCCCGAGTTAGCTTTGCATTTACTTAGCCAAATTGTCAAGGGTCATCATTCCCCATACGTGCCTAGGTCCCATTTTGCAGATACATATATGTAAAAGTACAAGAATCTGGCAGATTCAGCCTACTTCCTGTCCTTGAACCTGTCATTTCGTTGTACTCACAGCTCTGGGATGCTACACGGCATCGAAGTGCCTCACACTGAGACAAAATGTTATATATTATCATAAAATATAATCATATAATACAATAAGGTAAGTAAAATTAGTATTATAATTATAATGAGAAGCTTGTTACGCTGTAAAAGAGTCATTTCCGACCCTATAAATCATACATGTTCTGATCAAGAACAGAATCAACAGCCGAATCTTGAACTTAAGATTAAGATAGCAAAAATTAAGCAAATAAGGATATAAAATATATATTTATATTTATATATTTTAAATCAAAGAGAATCTCAAATATTATTTACAGAAGAATCAGGTTTTAATTGAGCCTTAGATTAAGGTTCGGGTTCACTTTCTTTTGACAATTGCAGTTTCAGTAGCTTTATTTCTAGCTGTGCACTTGGCACTTGACTGGTTGGGTCATTGGTAGCCCATCGACTTCCGCTTTGGCGTCCGTTTCCGCTTCCGTTGAGCGCCCCATCACGTGCTGTCTTGACTACGTGACAGACTGGCAGACCTAACGGATGCAGATTTGGATGCAGATACGGGATCAACATTCGCTAAGCGGGAAACTCCGAATGGAAAATGTAGGAAAATTACACAGAGAGAGAAAGGCAGGAGGCGAGGGGAAATTCCACTTCGCGTTTTTCCAACCAACAAAAAGAAAAAAGAAAAAATGTGGGAATTTCGTTGATTGCGTGTGAAAATGCAACAACGGGAAAATGTGCGAGATAGTCAAATGAGGCCTGAAAAAGCCAAGTAAGAAGTCGGAGTCCTTCCCGCATTTGGTAATAGTAACTGACAGGACTCAGAAGGTGCGAATGATTGTCACGTGCTAGGACTCACTGCAGTTCCCGCATTCCATCAGATAAAGTAGGAGTATCTTTGGGATATCTCCACCCTGGGTTATGTTTTTTAATCCCTGAACATAAATACCTTTCTTTAACTTTGAGGATATATCTGATTATCTATAAATTATTTACTGGATACTGGATACTTATTTAAGGGTATTTTGTGGAAAAAGAAAGGAAGAGGTTTGGTCACCAGTTCCATTAGCATCTCCATCGATATCCATTCATTGGCAGCGCCATCGTCGCTTCATTGAGCTCAAATCAGGCGGACAATCATTTGCCTATTTTCATTCTCCACTTTCCGAACGCCGCTTTTTCATTTGCATTTCCCTTGTCATTGCCATTTTCCATTTGCTTGTTGCAATTCGAAAGCAAAATCGCTTTCATTTTAGCGTGGCCTTCAGCCAAAGAGTCCAAGAATGGGAGTGCTTCGTCCATTGAGAAATTTCCCCTGAAAAATTGCTGAAACAGATCGCAGTCGGTGTTTGGCCAGCTGCTTGGTTTTTGATTTGGCCAAAAACGAGGACGAACGTACCCCTGGCCAAGACTTGTGGCCGGCGTCAACGGCGTTCCGAGGACTGCGCCACGGCGTTTGCACAACAATTGCAGCAAAGACGACACAGGATAGAAATTCTGGCCAGCAGAGTGGCAGGACAATGGTCCAAGGTCAGTGACGAAAGACCAAGACCAATAACAATACCCAACAACCAGACCCAGACGAGGCCAAACAATGGGCCAAGCAGGAGGACGCCGACAGGACACTTTCCTCTATCTACTTTCGGTTTAAATATAAAAAACGCGAGAGATGAAAAGCGAATAAAACCCAAAAGGGTTGAGGCTGAGCTCTCGCATTAGGAATCCTCTTCGAAGGGATATAGCTGGGCTCCTTAACTCGTTGGCCAGATCGAAAGTGCTCGAATCAAGGTCGCCCGCGTACTCAGGTAACATAACTCCCACTCCCAACCAAATGGCCGGGCCATAAAGTACCCGCGAGTGCTGTGAGTGTGTTTTCATGAAATCCCGCTCGCGGATTAGGCCAGGATGGCGAATCAGGTAGCTGCCATTGCCGCAATTCCTGGAAATCCTACGCGAACCACTACCTGCTGGCCGTATAAGAACCCCGCGGTTTATGACCAACCCAAACAGTCGACCACGAAGCGTTGAACGAAGCACATCCACAGAGAACGATATATACATTAGCTTGATACTACCAAAAACAAGACCATGGGTTGTTGTGCCAGCAGTTTGAAATTGAAGGAGCTGTCCCTGGGCAGCAGCATCTATGTGGCAGCCACTGGCAGTCGCTCCCTAAAGCGGCTCTACAGCAGCCGGAATAGCAGTGGCCTGGGCAGCACCTCGGGCTCGGGCTCTGGCTCTGGCTCCGGCTCTGGTTCGAGTAGCCGCAGCATCTGGAGCCGCAGCAAGACCAGCCAGCCCATTTGTGATGACTTTGCCGAGCAGCCGGAACAGTTGGAGCGCTCCTGCGGCTATTACACCTGCAGCAGTGCCGACTCCTCGCCCAGGAAGAATCCCATGCGGACACAGGATATGGGCAGAAGCGCCAGCTCTTGCTCCAACAACAGCTCATCCTCCTGCAGCGACAGCTCACCCTCCTTGGTGGGCAACCTGGAGTGGGAGATGTACATGATGCAGCGGGCACAGCGCATAATGCCCAAAACTTCATCACCGATTAGCCAGAGGAAAGGAGCTGGCCTGTTGCCCAGCTCGTCGTACCACAAGTGGCGAAACTATCTGCAGTCCACACCCGCTCACATGCTGCACAATGTGACCCACATCCCAGAGGCGATAGCTGGTCACTTTTGTCCCACTGGCTTTCCCGGCTTCAGTGATCTCGAGGAGATGGAAAGCGCGGCCAAGCGTTTCAAGGTGGACATTCAGTCGCAAATGGCAATGGAAATGCAACAGGAGGAAGAGGAGGAGCCGATGTACACCACCTCGCAGCTGCTGGCGGGGCATACGCACACCATTACCACAGACCTGTAGACACGCTCCAATCGCACCAACTCCGCCTGGTTCGGAGTGGCCCAGCGATGGACCTTGGCACGGGGATGGGATCCACGGGCCAGCGAGGACTGGCAACAGGTGTGCCAGCTGTCAAACAGTTGGGCGGCGGCAATCAAACCATCAATCTATCAATCATTGCCCAGCAATGCTAATCGAACAATCGATTTTACAGGAATATATATATCACATATATATATCTCCTATATGTATCTATATCTATTTTTTTTCGCTAGAACGTAAGAATGTATTTGAATACAGAATAGAACTAGGGGCCAGGACAATCAGCGATGTGTACACGGCTGGATAATGAAATTATAATTATATTGTATAAACTCAGAACACAATTGGCTTTTCAATTTTCCTAATTACTCAAGGGGAGGGGAAAACGGGCCACAAGGTCACAGCGGACACAAAGAGAATGTATTTAATCTGTGTAAAAGAAAGATATTTCTTTCACTTCAAAACAGTAAGGTATAGAGATCTATTTCGAGTATTACAAGTACTTTGAAAGAGCTCACTTATTAATATTCTTAAACAATTATTGCTAATTTCCATAAATAATTCAATATTCAAACCGCGCAGAAAAAGCTGCTGGTGACCAAAGCCATGACATTTTTTGGCATATCAAATCGAACTGGAAATAATTGGCTGAGCATAATTACGCAAAAAAATGTGCATTAATTAGTGTCCCAACGAAATTGATACTGAAATATCCAATTGAAAATTATATATAGTAGAGATAAACCCTGACCAGCGACCGGGGAATATGGATTATGGATTGTGGCTGTGGCCATATTCGTTGTTTGCATAGGTAATTAGGCTGGTCAGGACAGCAGGATCTATATATAATAGGTATATTATACCGGGCAATAGCCAGTGGTTTGCCTTTATACTGTACACATATGTGTGTATACATTACTTTTTAATTTAATTTGGTCCTGTACTGCAAACTAAGGCAGTGAAGAGTTCATTTAATAAATATTTAATAAAGCCACAAGAACTAAATAAATTCAAAAGGGGATTCATTACCAATCCAGAGAAAACTTCTACTAACAACTACTAAGCCAAAGAAAACTCTTCAGTAATAAATTATACATTTTCTGTCTCATAAAAATCTATTAATGTTAAATAGGGCTCGCTTTAAAAGAAAGCAAAATTAATTAAATCTCTTTAAGCCCCTCCAGAGCATTGTAATTTAGTCGGAAGCTTGTAACACAGGGAAGGAGTCATTTCCGACCCGATAAATCATATATATTCTTGATCAGCATCAACAGGCGAATCTTTTAAACCACCTCCGGCCGAAAAAAATTGTTTTCCCAAATTTCCCATTTTTCCAAAAAATGATAAGGGGTTACATCATGAAAATTTGCGAAAATCAGCCAAAAATTCACATTTTAAATGGAGTATGCAGTTTTGTGAACCTACTAAAAATTAGCATACGGCCGCTTTCCGAATTGAAATTAATGCGTTTTTGGCTTAGTTATGAGATTTTTAAATTTTGATTTGTCGAAAAATTTCATATTATAATATCGTTAATATCGGTACAAAAATGGTAATGGACCTTCAATCAGAAGCTTAAAAGAAAGTGAAGGAGTCATTTCCGACCCGATAAATCATATATATTCTTGATCAGCATCAACAGGCGAATCTTTTAAACCACCTCCGGCCGAAAAAAATTGTTTTCCCAAATTTCCCATTTTTCCAAAAAATGATAAGGGGTTACATCATGAAAATTTGCGAAAATCAGCCAAAAATTCACATTTTAAATGGAGTATGCAGTTTTGTGAACCTACTAAAAATTAGCATACGGCCGCTTTCCGAATTGAAATTAATGCGTTTTTGGCTTAGTTATGAGATTTTTACATTTTGATTTGTCGGAAAATTTCATATAATAATATCGTTAATATCGGTACAAAAATGGTAATGGACCTTCAATCAGAAGCTTAAAAGAAAGTGAAGGAGGCATTTCCGACCCTATACATCATATAAATTCTTGATCAGCATCAACAGGCGAATCTTTTAAGCCATCTCCGGCCGAAAAAAAATTTTCCCGAAATTTCCCATTTTAAAAAAAAGGAAAGGGGTTACATCATGAAAATTTGCGAAAATCGGCCAAAAATTCACATTTTAAATGGAATATGCAGTTTTGTTAACCTGCTAAAAATTAGCATACGGCCGCTTTCCGAATTGAAATTAATGCGTTTTTGGCTTAGTTATGATATTTTTAAATTTTGATTTGTCGAAAAATTTCATATAATAATATCGTTAATATCGGTACAAAAATGGTAATGGACCTTCAGTCAGAAGCTTAAAAGAAAGTGAAGGAGTCATTTCCGACCCTATAAATCATATATATTCTTGATCAGCATCAACAGGCGAATCTTTCTAGCCATGTCGGGAGAAAAACAACATTTTTGCATTTTTTTCAAAAAATTATAAGGGCTTACATAGTTAAAATTAGCAAAATTGCAAAACAATTTGATTCTCTTAATATTTAAATTGAGTATGCAGGCTAATTCTCAAAATTAAAACCATCACAGAACAGCTTTCCGAACTAAAAGGAAGACCTTGTTAGCATAATTATGATAGTTTGAAAATTCGACTTCGGCATAAGCAAGTCTTCCGTAATTATTTACTATACATTCAGTGCATAGTTATTGATTGCATAGTGTGTCTTTATTTTTATTTATTATTAATTTAATTAGAAAACTATCTTAATATTTCGTATATAAAAATTATAGATATTATTTTAGTTGTATGATTATTCTTAATCCTAACCATAAGTTTGTTTCCTCTAGCTTATTGAGCTTCTATAGCCACGCCACAATCCCTTCTAAAATCAGATAACCCATATTGCCATATCATTAGTACAGGGTATCCCGGGGGCAGTATTGATTTTAGTGGCTGGCCCACTCTTGTCAAGTGTGTCTGTCTGTGCCCACTTAAGCGTGCCCCGTTCGCACCTGGAGCCCCATGAAAAGCCCAGAAAAGCTGGCATTTCCCTCGCACCTTTCACCGCGACTCACCTCATGCTTTTCAATTGACAAAAGAGAGATAGAACTACCGATAGAGAGGGAGATGGAGAGAGAGTGTGACGAGGGTTACCCAAGGAGCAGTTTGCATCGGCGAGTTGCCATAATTGGTGCGGACTCTCAATTGTTCTAGCAATCAGTCAATCATTCAATCAATCAATGACCTCGACCACAGGCTACACTGTAGGAATATGTGATACTTTCTATTTAAAGAACTATCTACATTTTTAGGAATATATATATATACTGTAAGTTATATACATACATCATGTTTAGTTTTTTTTTTTTGTTTCAGTATTATCCTAGTTTTATGTTTGCTTTCAAACAAAATTTCTCCAAGTGTAGATAAAAACTACAGGTGCAAAAGAGCGTAGCTACAGGTGAAAGGTTTTGCCATTATTTTGATTATTGCAAAAGTTACCCTTTACCCCTTCGCCCCTCAGTTTTCCCCCTTGAAAAAAGTTTGCTAATAAACTTTTCACCAGGGACAACATACGAGCAGGAAAAAGTGAAAATTATGGCAGGGCAGAGTTGAAATTAAAGGCGAATTTCAAGTGTCGGAATTTTCTTTCTTAATGCAGGCAACTTTTCGCACACCATTCGTTATCCTGCCCCTGCCCCTGTGCTTCTCCTCTCCTGATTGCACATAAAAATGATGTAGAATTATTAAGTTTCTTCGGCGGTCATAAAGAACAAGGCGGAGCCAGGAACAAAAAAAAGGACTTGCTCCAGGCCCTCGGCCTTTTGCCCATCTGGCGGAATAATAAATAGTAAATGGCGCTATTTTATATGGAATTTATGCGCAAAGAAATAAAAAAAGGATGAGAGCAGGCTCTATTGTGCGGAAAAAACTGAAGAAAGGAATTATGTTTAACCAAAACGAAATGAATACAATTATACATGCAACAAAAAAGAGCAGGGAAGATATATAGATATATCAAAGGGAGATATAGTTCACTAAAAGTTTAGGAAAACAGGATACTACTATAAAGAAATGAATTCTTTAATTAATATGACAATAATATATGAGTTTAAGAAACCAGCCAACTAAAGCGACTTAAGTCTACTTAAAAAGTATATATATTATATAGTTCCGTTGATGAATTTCAAATAGAAAATGGGGACACATCATTTGACCCCTTTCCTCTATTTTCCCTTATTTTTCCTAAGCAATTGCCAGTCACTTCCGGGACCTTTTCCATCCATTAAACCGGACCATGAAATATGCAGGCCCCACATTGACCCTGGAACTAGAAACTGAAAAGCTAGCTCTGCCGCAATTTCCATGAACTTCAGCCTGCGTGCACACTTGGGACCAACTTTAAAGTGTCAAACTGTGAGCAAACAGGACTCAGAGTTCAGGTTAAACAAAACTATTTGGGGGGCCAGGACTAGAGGCGAGTGAATAATTAAGGGGAGGTCACAACTACAGTGAAAAAATAACACAATTGATACGTGGTACTTCCTGGCAAAAGTTGATTTTAAGTATTAACAAAGATATTTGCTTATGAACTTTATGCAATTATGAATTATAAATCGAGCTGACCAAGAGGGGAAAGAGAAACTTTAAACAACTATTTAAGAATTATAGTTTCATGATAAAGAAAACTTTGAAGGAGTCTAATAAGTAGTCCAGCTTTTTCTTAGAGTGTTCTTGGACTGCTGGGCTGGGCTTAGGACTATGACCAAGGACCTGGTGAGGTGAGGACGAAGCCAAGGGACTTTTGCTGCCGTTTGACAGCCGCAAGTGTTGTTGGCTGACTCCACGACGACACTTGAGGAGAGCCCGGGCTCGAGTGGCGGACAATGCCGGAGTGTTCCCTTAAAAACAATAGGCGAGGCGCGAGGCTGAACAAGAGCACAGAACTCAAGTGGTTCATGTGGTTAGTGCTCTCGATCCCTTGGCCCAGATTTTGCCTTAAATCCCCCTTTAAGCCATCAAATTCG